GTGTCGTCGGATTAGGGCGCAGACATTTTGGACCACCTGGCCTCAGCCAATCCTGTGTCTCTTTGCGATCCAATAGCATGCGGGAATGGAAGGCAGCCAACCAGAGAAGGACATGGATGAGATGCAGTATATAATGAGAGGCGTGGCCAGCGTCGGGGACTCGGATGGAAGGCGTCTGACGTGTGGCTCTGGCTTCTGATTGGTCAATAAAGCCTGTTTTGTTGTACCAGGATTTTTCCTATTAGGGCTCGGGTATTCTACAATGGTGGCAGCGGATGCGTTCGAATAATGCAAATCAAACCCCAGCCCTTTCTCTTCAGTGGTCAACACAGGCAAAGACCCTTAAATGCCAGCTTAATTTGTCATGGCGGTCATCCGATGTCCAATAAAGTGGATCCATAGACATTGCCCGGGATTAGGACTACTGCATCTGAAGAAGCATTGGCAACTCAGCGACGACGACTTGGACAGTGAAAGCCAGCTGGACTGCATCTGAGAAGGACCTTCAACGGATGATGAGTCTTTCCTACAAGTCTACAAGAGCAAAGTCCCTCGTCAACTATTCGCATGGGCCACTATCCTGCCAGATGTGGGGTGCGGGGAGTGTCGAACTGGATATTTTATCAACATTGGAAATCAACAACAGTGCAAGGAACCAAGCCAGAAGCTGAGGACAGCTTCACTCCTAAGGGGGAGGCAGTGTGGCGTCGGATCAGGGCGCAGACATTTTGGCCCACCTGGCCTCAGCCAATCCCGGATCTCTCTGCGATCCAATGGCATGCGGGATAGGAAGGCAGCCAACCAGAGAAGGACATGGATGAGATGCGGTATATAATGAGCGGCGTTGCCAGTGTGGTGGACTCGGATGGAAGGCGCCTGACGTGTGGCTCTGGCTTCTGATTGGTCAATAAAGGCTGTTCTGTTGTACCGGTATTTTTCCTATTAGGGCTCGGGTATTCTACAAACAAGCCGCCGTAAGATTTACCAATCGAAAGAAAGTTGCCCTGGTAAAGCTCTGAGCCAATCTATGTCTAGTTTAAGCATTCAACTCGGAATTGTGAGACATCGTTGACATGGTACGCTTAAATTTTATTCCCCACAGCCATCACGTGCAAAGACATTAACTGCCACTAAAATAGGTAAAATAAAGACATCTTCGTGTTCTCATTCTAGTACAGACAAGAAACCATGAAGACTGGACGGCTGCCAGAAATTTAACGAATTGTCCAAAATGGAGTAAAAACGTTTTTGGTGATTTTGTCTTCCTGGTATGTAACGAATTTAGTGAATATTATTAAGTTAGAATAAGTCTTGTAAAGCTGCATTTTATGAGCTTCCGCATGGTTTTTTTGGATTCGAAGTAAATATAAATCGAACTACAAGAGGAAAAATCAATTTTGTCTTTCAGATTGAGTTTGGTTAGTCAAAGCTGCCTTACCTATCCTTCTGATTTATTTATTTTTGCACGCTAATATAATCTTTGGGCTGCGAGTGCGACCAATCGCTAATTGCTAGATTAATTTGACAAGTCACATATTTCATTGACAAGGAATTGCTAGCATTTGGAATACATTTAATAATTTTTATGATGTATATATATTTCCAATGATATTTTGCACCTGGAAATTGATCAGGTATCTTGCCGTTGGGTCACTTTGAGTGATTTTAATTGTGGCTATCACAGATACGATGTACTTAGAGCCTCTGAATCTGCCTAGTTTTAGAGTGGTCTCAAGTCAGTTTGTTGCAGAAATGTGCGGCGTGGCAAACTGAGAGACAGGGTTGCCACCCGCGACATCTCGTCTCCCATCAGTTTTATAACCTATTGTATCATTCTACACAAATGCATGGACCTGCACGGACACAACGCAACCTCCGTTGGGTTGCCTCACCATCCTACTGTCCCGAAGGGCAATGCCCCCGACAACTTGGTTTCTACTAACTTTATTAGGATACACACATCGAGACCCGTAAACACCACCCACAGCTAGTAGCTCCTTCTTTAACTTCAAACACAAACCTCCCACTTTAATTTCCACGGATTTGATAGAACACAAACCCCAAACCTAAAGAAAAGTCACGAATTTGTAATCATCACCAACTAAAACATTGTTTCGGAATAACGCCATAGTGAACATGGATTTTAAGGGTTACATACCACGTATAACCTGTCACTAAATCTCATGAAATTTCCAACTAGTAGAACAAATAGGACGGTTAAAGTAGCTTGTCAAAACCCAGAGTGTATTTTTAAATCATGCAATAGCAAATGATGTTCATCGATTCTGCACCAAAAGTTGTATATAGCAGTAGGAGTAAACGGAAGGGTTTACAGGACTGTTTGAATCTGTTTAAAGAGCCGTTTGTGCAAAAGGCCACCGATCAGATGAACTTGGGGGCCTGTAAAAATCTCTGTCGACGAGCTAAAAGAGAATACTGATGTTAAGGCAAGCGTTGATAATGTTCAATGGTGAGACAGCAATGCGTTACTGAACTCAATAAGTGCAAATAATTTTTTAAAAAAATGGTAAGAAATGAAGCTGGAGCTGAAGTTGGTCGTCTGACCACCACATAAACACAAAGATCCACATAGAAGAAAAGCAAAATGTCGGCACTATGAATAAGGCTTGACGACGGCAGCAAATGGTTTTAGGCGGTCTACCAAACTTAAAGAAACCACCAAGCATTGCGAAATATGTCTTGATTCTACACCACGCCAGCCCTGGTCATGACAATACAGAAAATAGTTAAAAGCTGTCGGTGAATGCTTTTTAGCCAGTTGACTGAGCACAAAATTAGGGAAAGCGTGTGAAAATCAATTCGTGAAAAAAGTCCAAAAAGGCATTGGAAAAATACAACAACGTGAGATTTGATTTGTGCGACTTGACAATCGACTTACCTTAGAAATGACGGCCTATGCAGATTGCAAACACGCAAACGTCAATACAAAATACACTTATGCGTAAGTTTAATGCACGATTGTATAAAAAAAATTGACATTTTTTAATATCTTGCGCTGAATGTGTACACGCACTTTCAATATTACCTTGCGGTCAACAGATAAAAAGGGCGTCTGGAGAGGATATAATTTGAGTACACAAAAGACGAAAAAATTGTAAGGAAAATTAGAAACATTACTTTAAAGTAAACGCTTCAGTTGGAACATATAATCGACTACAAGGTCGTGGAAACATAAGGGTTAACTACAGCATCGAATTTGACTTACGCCCTTGGTATGATGGCATGCCTACAAAAAAAAGACAATTGGTTAATGAACATCAGCCTTCCATTTACTACGCGATGTAAAGTGGCCAGGATTACTTTTAGGTCCCGATATCATTCCGCCACGATTTTCAATAAGCTTTTCATTCATATCGACGATGCTGTTCACCTTGTCCGCAAGATGAATGGCTAAGTTCTGTAGTCGAGAACGCTCACCCCTGTGCATTGTTAGGAAATCGGCTGGAACTTCTAGGGAGCCCTAATTACCAAAATAATAATTCCATTTAAGTGTGACATCAGATTACAAAAAAAACACGTCTATGAACATCTCTCGCTGACAAATAAAGTAACTACGACTACAGCTAGTGCAAGAAAATGAGCTGAAAATGGTATGCAGTTTTTCGGATTTAAAATAACTGGTAAACCAAATCCACTAACTACTGTTAAACAATTCTGGGAGTTATCAAAATATACGACAGAAGCCAAAAATAACAGAATACTAGCAACACACAGCGAGTTCCTCGTTGATGATCATTTTACTGATAATAGAATAGATTTGTGATTTCGGTAGTTCAAAGTGTTCAGCCAATCGGGAGAGGCTAATAGATTCGTGGACAGACGAGAAAGTGAAGAGGTAACATCTCAGACACTCCTCCTTGATTTTCGACTCTAACATCTTCTTTACTCCGTTGGCATTGTAAAAGAGGACCCAAATCTAAAGTTGAAACGACAAAAAATATCATTAACCAGGAACTTTTCAGTAGGTTATTTTGACCAACTAAAGGCGCAAAAAAACTAACCGATAAAACAATCACAATCAATTTCGCAATTCTGTCGTTAGTTGTGGCTGTTGCTTCACGATTTCCAATTCGAAAGGACGATGGGGGTAGTCAAAAAATCCCATCGTGAAACGTGAAAGGCCATAAAGGGACTACACTATTCGAAACTCATGAATGCAATTGGACATGGTGGAAGATTTTGGAAAAATAACAAAATCAAAGGAATTAAATTTGCATTGGCGGAAGCTACAGGTCATTTAGGTGTTACCGTGGAACATTGTGATTACAAACAATGGGTCAGTAAATGTTGAAATGGTTTTATATCCATAAATGACTTTATTCGATGATGGGCAACGGATATTTTAGGACTTCAGAGTGCCGAAACAGAAAGAGTGTTTAGGAAGCTCCTTCGAAGTACAGTAGATTTTGTTGAGATAACAATACCTTAGCATCCATTTTTGGGTTGAATATAAACTTGAGACAGCTTCGCCAGTTGCCCAGTCGCATGGCTTTTGAGGCAGCGATTACGTGGTCTTTAGGGGTCTCAGGCGGACCAATTAACGTAGCCCTGTCGTGGATCCTTAAAGCCATCATAAAGGCCTTGCTGAAGACACGGGTTCTAATATCATTGTCCTGAGAGGCTGAAATAAAAAAAATCCAGGAGTGACATGCAAATAGTCTCAGACAATAGTTGGGAAGGCGTGAGTCCGTTTGATCCATTGCCTTGGAGGTAGTAGCTCACCTGCGAGTGCAGGCATCTCTTGGAGAGTGGCGGAAATGAGATAGACGGTCTCGATTAGCTCTGTGTTTATGTGCATGTGATAGGGCATCTGGAGAGCCCTTTCACGTTTCTCCTCTTCGGGGGTACGCTCGTACCGCTGTCCTTGGGCCAGGAGCTCACGAATTCGGCTGGAGCCCGTCAAGTCGGAGAGGGTTGAGTGAGCATCTCGAATGTGGCCCTGACGGAATGCGCACAGGCCCACTTGTACCATGGCACGATTAAACAATATCTAAAATCAAGCAGATACAAAGCAGACACACACGCAAGTTTTTTCTCCCCACGACCCAGTTGAGGTCAGGCTGTGCAAAGGGGCATAAGCGACCAATGCTCTGGGGCTTACAATGGGTTAGTACTCAATAAAATGGTGTTTGCGTTTTAAAACAAAACAACTGACACCGAAAATATGTGGCCCAAAGGTACGGTGGCATTTGAAAGAAAATAAGGCGGCATAGGGCCTTAATTTTACTACCCTGAAACTAAGGCTTATATCTGGTAACTAGTAATAGCATCGATGAGCGAAATTTTTACGAATAACGACGCATAAAATCTATGAAGCACTACATTTGCGCAGTGCATTATATTACATTAGAATGGATTAAGTCGTAAACAAAAGACAAATAACTAACCATGGTGGAGGGATCGGCGTGGTCAATAGAGGCCTGAAGGTTGGACATAAGCATGAGATCACGGGCCTTGTACCAATGATCGAAGAGGGCAAGGAAGTAAATATGACAAAGGATGGCTCGCGTACGAAGACGATCAGTCTTGTCGTTTTTGTAAATGTATTGACAAAGCCGTTCAACCACTGGGTAGGAAGGGTTTAATCCGGCCGCTTCTACTCCCTCAGACTCCACCTTCTTACCCCACTCGAAATCAAACTAAAACAAAATAGGATGTTGGTTTGAAGTTAGCAAAGTGGACCTTTGATAACCTACGACGGAGGCCGAAATTTGCAAGAATACACGCCGTTTGATCACAATCACTAAAGGGTTGGTTTTTATGCTTTGGAACAAAACCCCAGGAAGCAAATTCGGCAAAAGAATCAACCAGAATCAATAAATGGGTAGTAAAACACAGGAAGCTCTTGACTCGGATTACCTTGTAATAAAGGTGTTCGACTTTGCGAAGATATGCCACGCACAACGCATCGGGGGAAGCGTTGGTCCGCTCGAGATAATTGATTAGTAAATCGATAAGCTCGCAGACTCTGGGTTCATCTCGCAGCCTGAAACGGAGATAAGATGAGGGATTTTGCATAAAGCTCAAGCACCGACAAGTGGCCTCAGGGCATTGGCAATTACAGTTGACATTGCGAGGCAGGCATCTGAGCATTTCAGGGGTTTTTAGCCCTTAAAAACACTAGCAACACGGGACAGATCAAAAAAAGACACAAGACATCGAATTCGACAAGCCACCTAAGAGAAGTGGTTACATAAAAGGCCATGGTTAAGCTGATTTATCCAAAGAAAGCCAATTACGGGAAATGTGGATATTTGTGCATAAAATAGATAATACCGTTCATCATATTCCATTTCATGACCATTGGCATTTTGTAGTATTTTGAAGTATTCGTCGTCGAGCCTACCGACGGAACTCAGGATAGAGCCGCGGATACGATAAGGATGTTCCTAGAAGAAAAGTGCTTAAGTAATGCCAATTAAAAGATGTATCAGAAGCGGGTGTGAAGCCGATACGATTAGGCATGCACCACGGACGAGGAGTTGTGCGACAAGATAAAGGTGACGAATATCAAAAAAATGAGCAGCGGAAAAAAATTAAAGCAACTCTCAAAATCTAAACCTACCACAAGTTTAATTAGAAAAAAAAACTTATTAGTGTGGTCAAATCATTCCTACCTACCGAACGACATACATGATGAAGTGAATGAAGAACATAGGCTTCTTGACGTTGTAGTGTGCTTACATAAAACGTTTAGGCCAATGCTCCCCAAGAAATCAAATAGGTAACCAAAACACAATACTTTGTATAAAATGGTGAGAGAAGAAAACTCGTTCAATGCACTAAGCGGAAATCACTACCGCAATGGAGGCGAATAAAACATAAAAAATTGTTGTAACAAGGGAACAAGAGAACATTACGTGATGTTGCAACCGTCTGAGAGGTGGAAATGAAAGGCAAAATCAGCGTGCCGCGAACAATGGTCTGTATCAACTAAATTTTCAAAATAGCACAACGGGCCGATTTCGGTTATCCGATGGAGAGAACTTGTGTAGTTTGGAAAGACACTGGCCAAAAGACATGATACAGCGGAACCCACAGCAAAAATTAGGCACCAAACGATTTTAGTCAACAAGGAACCAGAAACTAGACTGAAGCATTTGCTCAAAAAAGGGCATGAAGATGGAAACACACTGCAGTTTTCTGATGATAGGTTCAACAATTTAGCGTATGAAAGTTAATTGGAGCTCAGTAAATGAATACAGATAGGGACTACTGGCAAAAAGTGAAGACGCGCGAATGCATAAAGCGAAGGAAAGTACCAAAACCTTTTCGTTATGGAAGAATGAATGAGAAGCAAGACTAAAAACGCCTCAAACATACCACGACACGTTCGGTTTCTTCGGTAATGTTTTCGGATATTTCAATGTCATTCTGATTATTTTCCAAGATTTCAAAAAGCTTTTTCAACTGTTCAATAACTCTACAAGGAAAAGTCGTAAATAAAGGATGTAATATAAGGGCAGAGTGGGAAGCAAATTAACAAACCTCTGGAATTTGACAATAGGCATGAATGCAGGATGCTTGGATTCATAATCGAAGAGTACGGTGATGGAAGACAAGATGGCTTTCACATGAATTCCGACACCCAATCGAAGTTCCTCTGGAAGAGAAAGTTTCGCACCCAAATTAATGCCAGCAGTAAAAACATGGGACTTTAAGGAGCAAACTTACTTCAAAATCAGTACATGACATTAACAACATGCCCGTTCATACAAATATTTATGAAATGCACTTTTCTAGGTACAACCCATTTTAGGGAAACCAGATCAGACTTTACCTAACGTTGGGACACGAGTGAAACTGTGACAAGAGAGGCATACGAGAATATTTCAGGACAATTCGCTTGGGACAATTCAACAACAAGGACGCAAAACCAAGCCTTTGGTTCTCAATCAGGTATAAGTAACTGTAAATGCTTATTAATTGGTCCAATGACCTATTCTTCAGCAATCAGAGAAAATAACCCACCAATTTTTTGGCAGACTTGATCGAGAAGACAGATTTGCTCAGCAATACTCGAAGTTCGCTTGCCACGGTTTGCGATGATTTCGCTAACCTTCTTGATGACAAGTTCCTGGGTAATTTCAACACCCTTTTCGAAGGCCTGCACGGTGGGCTCGAGGGCTGAGCCGTCTCCAGGAGCAACTACACGCCATTCATCACCACTGTCTTCACTGCTCGATTTCACAGTTTGTTTCACAGGCTTTGGTTTGGGAACTTTCTTCTTCGTTTCCTCCTGTAGATAGTCAAAAAAGGTATTCGATAATTACTACCTGTTCAAACATTTGTGCTGCCTAAAGCATTACTAAAGTACAAGACTTGTAAATGGAACTTAATTGAATACAGGCGTTTTTCATATACGCGTTGAATGCATCTTTGTTAGATGTTTTAGAAGCTTAATGTTAATTTTACTCATTGAACGAACTTGGGAATATGAAAACAATATCATTTGGTACGCAAAAATTTGAAATAAGCAAACAGCTTTGAAGCATGTTTGCTGCATGTTATCTCGAAGTTAAGTGAGATTGCTAGGAGGAGCAAATGTTTTTATTGGCCTTAGTATAAACACGCAATAATCCATATTAACTGCTTCGAGACAGAATCCAACGTCATTAGCTAATTCCAAACGAAATCTCTATTCTTTTGTCTTACTGGAACTCACTTATTTGAGTTTTTTCTGAATAACGTAAACCACTATTTTGCGATTAAAACGTGTTGTATTTAGTTTTATTGAGACACTAGAACGTAGACAATGGAAAATTCTCACATAACAAGGGCCAGTGAAAATATAAGTTATGATAAATAAAAAGACGAACCTTTTTTGGTTTACCTTCCACTTTCAAAAAGTAAGTATATGGATGTTCCATATCGATGTCAGGGCCACTGACACTTGAATCCGAATCAACAGAGCTTCCGAAATAATCATCATCGTCAGAGGACTCATCAGAATCCTTGGGTGCCACCGCTGCCTACGAAAAAATGGACTTACTGATAAACACCAAAGGCGAAAAGAAAACTCCATAATTGACTTACAGATTGTTTTGCGTTAGGTTCCTCTTCCTTTTCCGAGTCTTCCGCACTTTCCTCAATTTCTTCTTCATCTTCTTCATAGAGTTCGGGGTTTTCCCGATATTTTTTAATTTCGGGTTCGAAGTCTTTATTGTATTTCCGAATTTTTTGTTTAAGGATGGTGAGAGACTTAGCCGCGACCTTGCTTAGAGACTTTTTTTGGGCCCAATATTCGTTAATAAAGTCTTCCATTTGAGCAAGAACGCGAATATAGAACTTCGGATACATGTCAATTTCATTCATCTTTTGAGCTTTTTCGTAGAGTTTTACTAGCTCGTCAAAGTCCAACTCCACCTTAGGCATATCTTTTATTTTTTTGTGATTATTGAGGTTCCTAAGGACACTTTGGATTTCCTCGTGCCGTTTGTCTTTAGCACTCCGCACCACACGCTTTTCATCCTCGCTGTCACTTTGGATGGGACGCATGAATCGCTTGACATTAACTTTGGATGAGACTTCATTGACAGATTCGTCATCACTCGAACTGTAAGCTGCAGCATACAAACGTGAAGTCATTGGTTGCAAATCTAAAAATTCAGTAAAATGAATTACTCACGGAAGAATTTAACACGAGAGTCGATTGCTACACTAAACAAGTATAGCCGACCAAAACGCCTACTGCCAGCATATAAGTAAATACATAACTGAAATCTTATGCACAGACTGATTGGTCATGTTTCCACAGAGGCCGCAATTCCGACAAGCTCCCATATTTATGTATTTAGAATACCACTCGGTGAAAAAGAATGATCGCATTAGAAGTATATCATAAGGTAATATTATGAATACGGGCACAATCACTCCAAAAAGAATTGCCTGTAGTTTAAAAACAAACAAAATCTAGGAGTGGAACATTTTAGTTTTTACATTATCTAGCTCTAGATGCAAAATAGTCATAACGGCACAGTGAAAATTGAGACTAGAAATTGTAAGCCTTTAAAGAATGATAGGTACAATTTACTTCAACAGAAAACGCCGAGAGACTAACAACCGCACGCCAGTCCACACACGCCCTAAGTTTACGAAGTGATTGGCCAACTCGTATTTGAAAATTCATTAAAACATCGAAAATTTCATATAGCCTAAATGCAGTTAAAAAAAGCAAAATTAACCATGTAATCAATATTATTTTGATCATAACTACGCAGCAGTCATTACAACAAGTATATAGACAGTGGTGCTGTTCCATCAACATTTACGAACTAACAGACTTTATATTGCGTTGAGATTAATATTGTGGGTTCAGTGTTCCTTAGATTCAAAGTCGTTTTTAGTGATGTCTTATTCACAGCACTCATGTCAGCCAATATACACTCATATATAATTAATTGTATTCTCACAGTGATAAAATATGGGGATAAATTTTGTTAAAGACCCGAAACCCATAACTAAAATGGTAAATCAGAGCTGACGGGTGATTTAGCGCTTGTGCCGAATCAGCGATTTCTCGTTTTATATCTCTTTGGTATTTTATACTTCAAATTTTTTTCAGTTAACCTGATGAATGTCATAGTGTATGACAAATTTAGTTGCTGTATAATAAAATTGCTTTCATTTTTTGACCATAACAAAGTTGAGAATAGTTAACTTTAATTGTTTTTGTTTTTTAGATATTTAGTTTAAAATTGGTTTTTCTTTTATCGAAGTAGCAATGCTAAAGCTTAATTCGCACTGTTTGAAAGCTGAACTCATTGCTTAATGCTGTCGATAGTTGAAGAGGAGTGTTTAATATTTAATTAGAGAACCGCTTCATACACAACTGCATCCTTATAAAGATATTAGACTTTTCGAAACAGAGATCGTAAATAATCTAGCAACAGAATCCATCTCCTGTTCTAAAATAAACGAGCCAGGAAATGACCCGAATCAATCTCATCATCAAGTCGGATAAAAAACATTTCAAAAAAATGTATGTGCCGAAGACGGTGGTTTAAAATCCAAACATTTGAGGACGTGGAGAATGAAGAAGCAACTAAGGTAACTTAACAAACGTTAAGTTATTTTAATCGCATCTGTCAGCGCAAGTATTGCTGATCTGGTGAAAATTCTAAAAGGGTCCTTTTTGGAAGACTTGGCCCTTATAAATTTCACCGATCACTTCTGTATCAAATTATTCTTTACTCAAAAATAATATTCAGATACCGAAATCATTAGGTTTTTTGTCACGGAAACAAACGTTTTAAAGACGCAATCAACAAGAAGAGGAGGGATGCGCTTGAACTATCACACGGGCCTGATATTTGACATCTTTTTATAACATGAAAGCTAAAACGGGGGAGGCAACAGTAGATACTACCATTTATAAGGTTCCGATTGGCTGAATGTTCATTTTCGTGAGTATATGAGAGTGTTTTCAGAATGGCAACCATAAACAATGAATGCTAATGGTGGGTCATTGATAATAGGTCGCTCATTTGCATTTGCTTAAATTTCCCCAGAGATTGAATCGGGGTTGTGACTGACTCCATATTTTGCTAAAGGTTATAGTAGTCTTTTTTCCAAAGGAATTTATTGACGTTTCAAGACTGACAAAACACGTTTCTAGCAATACTTAAAGCATTTGCCTAGGCACTTAAAACTAACCCACGGAATTTAGAAAAACTCTATTCAAACTACTTTTTTTAAAAAAAAATTCAACCAAAGATTTAAACAATTAACCTGTAGTTCATCAGCTCTTTCTTCTCAGGGCAAAAGAAAATGACGATGTAGGAAAAATTTTATTGGCATGGGATCAGCAAAGAGAAAAGTATAAAGAATCCCTGAGAAGGAGAACATGCTAAATTCGTCGATTAATATTCTTCTCAGTCCGATAGAAATCAGGTCAAACTTCACAGGATTCCTTCAAGAATTCTTTTCTTTTTTGTGTGGAGGTATCACTATTGACAACCGAAGTGAAAAATATACCCTTTTTTCTGTATTCAATCGTTTTTTAATTCTGATTCTCATTTTGAAGTACTTACAGTCTGCTCACATGACGAGCAAAAGACATACATCTATAACACTGTCAGAAATCTTTTCCTTTATACTAAATGTATATAACTTTTGCAAAATGTTTACAGCTTAAATGTGAATTAATCAAAAAACACGTGCATGGGATTAAACATTCCAAATTGTCTTCTACGTTTGGGGACTCTATTTTCATTTGCAAGCCAAAAGAATGATCATCACATTGATTGATTTTCTGAAACGCGCTGCAAAAATTAAAAGACGAATGAAATGGGTGCCTCCAATAGTAATAGTAGTATGGCAATGAACGAAGGAGGTTTGATAAAGTCATCTTTGCTATAGAAAAATGATAGGTGTAAGGTGATGGTCAGACTTGAGTCACCGACTAAAAAGCTCGGCGTAAGGTGGTAGGACGTGGACTACCGAAGGTGGCGACATATAAGAATGAAAGAGGATACAAAACATTTTCGTTTAGAGTGCTCCACCTTCTTCCACGACCAATATTCGCAGTTCGCTTTCGACGATTTATTGTAGATCTTTTTCAATAGGCACAAGATTGCAAGAATCTATTATGTGCAGTCACAGCTTTTGAGGTTTGCACTGCGTTGTTGAGCTGAGTCACACGCCCATTAAGTTGACATGATTGCAGGAATATGCGGAATCCATGGGATAGTAAGAAAATTACAAAGGAGTAACCAACGTAATGATTACTGCTGCATAAATGACCATAGTAGTCATTAAGAACATTTATGTTTATTAATGCATTAGTACCTAGCATTTGAAATTATATGGTAATTATAGCTTAGACAAAATCAGTGAATAAGTCTTGCAACTTCAATATATTTTAATTTAGCGTGAAGGGCAATAAGAGACTCGTATGAAGGACAAGCTCACACAAGTAGTTACAAAAATGTTATTTGAAAACTAAATTTAAATCTAAATGTGGATATGAGAAACTTATATTCCCCTTGTTACGATGCATTTTTACACATAAATACCATGTTGACACACGTTTTGTCTGAAAATTGTTAACGCCTAGTTATTCAGAAAACAGAATTCTGGTCATGACAATACAATAAATCCCTTGTCTGGATTTATAGCAGTTGAAATCTTGCTTTCAATTTGGTCTATTTGCAACTTGTTAATAGTAATCTTACTCAGGCTGTAGGTACTTGGAAAATAAGCGAATTTATAAAGTGAGCCCTACTCACTGATATGATTTTTACAGCTCGCTTATATTTATCAAAGCTGTTGTGATTTTTATTAGATATAAGAAATGGTTAACCTAAATATAAAAATTGATAATGTCGTATTTAACCATTTCTTGAAATCTACCGCCTGATTGAAATGGGCGTGGTTTCGCACGCTATTTTGCCCTAAGTGTTGGATGCGTGTAGGTTCTTTTTCATTTATTTTGGTTCCTACTTTTAAGAAATTTATGTGGTATTGCCATAGGACAAAATGGCCTCATTTGATTGTTCCAAACCCTAATTGTTAGTCTATTTTGTGGTTTGTTATTCTCCCTCTGCCCTTCGAGTGTCTTATACTGTACGATTTGTGTAATACATACTAACCTTCTCATTTTCATTATTGGTAAAGGTCGTGACTGGGGTTACCGATTACTCGACTAGGTTTAGGAACTCGTGGTTGCTCGCGCACGACGGTGTTTCTCACCTACGTGATGCGGCTGCTTGAAGGAATGAGCAACTTGAACACGTCATTTCGTGTGCGTATTAATTCTTCAGAAAGAAAGAGACTGTATGAAACCCAACTTTCTGAAAAATTAAAGCACATTTGCCCGTCAGAAATAAGGAGGTAGTTGTGATTTAATCTAATCCGTTCTAGAGACAAAGCTCTCTCAGCTACTGGCTACAAGAGTGAATTGGATGCCATTCAGTGGCTACTGTCGCATTTGGAGGATCCTACACTCGATGAGCCCCTTCATCGCGAATTTTGTTTGTTTCTTTGTGTTCGTTCGGAATTGGCTGACAAGGTGCAAGAATTTTGGAATTCAAGTCGTCTTCATAAGGAATGGAACCATGCCCACGAGTTCCCTCCACATATAACATTGCTCTCGAACCTCAGCGTAATATCACTTGGTTTTTGATTTTTTGCCTAGGTTCCTGATGACAAAGTTATTTCAGTTCACGCCGCTTATGATAAACTGCTAGAGGAGCATGCGGATTTGCTTAATATTAACCATGTTCCTCTTAAACTCGTGACATCTGCTAATTTCATCGGTTACATTGTTTCGAGTGACAAAGTTAATGCGAATCTCGAAAAGCTTTGCCGTACTTTTGTGCAGGAACTTTTAAATGGTAAATAGAAAAGATGCAAAAGTCTGTTGAAGCACTTTTAATGTTATACATGCTTTGTTACATCGTTTTAGTTGGTGTATCATTTGAAGATGACCCCTTAGAGAGGTGTAAATCAAGCTACCACTTGTCTCTCGCGTATGGCTTTCCGTCAGTAAGCATGGCAAGCCTAGGCGGGCTTCAAGATACCTACGACACACTGCCACCTCCCTCAATCACTTGGAGTCTGGATCTGTTTTCAAGTGACTCGAGGTTATCTGCAAAAGATTCAGAGGTACATACCTCATGCTTAATTTGTATTCAACGCCTTTTGTACCCTAGCCTATAGTGGTAAGCGGGCCATTTGTCCTTGCCATGTTACTACCTGTCATGGAATAGTCATCCGTAGGTTACTTTTATCAGATGCAATGAAAACGTTTTTAAATCGAACAATGAAATGTTTACTTTTTGCTACGTATTGGTGCTATTTACTAATTCTAAGGGCATTATGGCATCACCTAGTTTTCACGATGTGAGAATTAACTTTATTTTTTTGTTTCTTTATCAAATACAACTATCCTTTAAAAGCTATGCGAAATGCAAACGACAGTGGAAATTGACGACGCCTTATTTGCGAAGTTGTCGTCGAAGGATAAGTTGCACAGTGGAAGTCTTCTACCGGAAGCTTGCGAATTGGACGTCGACCGTTCGTCGCTTCCAACCTCTTCTGTTAAATCATGTTGCAATGAAGATTCAAGCTGTCCGCAACTGCTTTTCCAAACGCATTTAGGTGACGTTGTCTCCACCACTACCCCACCACAACTTCCTAGCACACTGGCACACAAGGCCGGCGACTACGTACTGCTGATTGGATCGTGCAATTTAGGTGGTCAGTTTGGTGTCCCAGTTGGTCTTAACCTCTCAACCGGCCTAACGGGGGTTTTCAGTTTAGCTTCTGCACGACGAATCCCCAGGTGGTACGCCTGGGTAACACATAGGTACGTCTCTTATTAAAGTATTTGTGGTTATTGCAGTTTTTGACTGAAAGAAAATAATACTTTTACAGCGGCTTTGCCCTCCCTTACTTGTCCCCCTTGAACTAATAGGAGGTGTGATTGAAACCTACAATCCAATTCACAGGGTAGTCCTATGACATCAGACAGATTAAAAACAGACACTGAACATCGAGTATTAGGCCACGGATCTGGCACCCAACTTTCTGTGCGAATTCATCGGTGCAGCATGTTTATGGCTAATTTTCATCAATTAATTGGTTCTCTCTTTATCATTTTGCTCCAGCTTTGGGCCAAGTGTTTACAGATAGCTATTAAGGAATGTCCAATAGTAGTCACTGCCGATAGTTTTAGAAGTCCGGTATCTCTGGAGTATACATAGGTGCCGGAGAATTTTTTATCAGTGAATTTTGACCGTTCACATTTTGACCCGGTACCTGACATCCTCAGCTAATCCCCACCGAAATACCCACCCAGTGTTCTCTGAAACTTTGTATGTCTACTATCGTTGATAGGTTGTGCCTGCCATTCCGTCGTTTTTTCAGAATTCTTCAAATTACCTACTATTACTGCTTTCTACGCCAATGATGCTGCCACTTTTACTGAACATAGTATTTAACCGCAAATAGTTTATTTTTGTTATATTTCCGTGGTGCCAGTGTTCGAGTTGTGGCAGTGATTGCATGGCCATTCCAGCCGAGTTGTGAATTGTGTGCTCTAAGTATACTGTTACAATGCTTCTGAATATCGCCATGAGGTTTTTGTTGTTCTTGCTCTATCTACTTCTGTAGGCCGTCTACCCTTGCAAACCTATTGCTTCTTGGTTGTTCATCCATCTCGTTAACCTTCGAAAAATGGTAGATTCTCTAAATTTGAATTACTTTAGTGTTGTTTAGTTTTGGTCTCTGTTAGTGTGGTCAGTTTCGCGAATTGCTCCCAACTTTGGTAATGATGTCCCACATTTTCGCCATAGAAATATCACGGTTCAATATGCTCAGAGATGAATTCCTATCTTTCTACTTGGATATAGTGGGTTGTAAAGAGACACTTTCCATTCTGCCAACAGCATGTTTTAAGGACCACTTGAGCGACGTCGTAGGTTGGTCCTTGGAGCATTTCTTTTTTTGTATTTCGCATTTCTTGTCATTTTAATGGCATCTGACCCCGCTCGGATAAGATTTAATCAGCGTTTCTGACTAATGATTGCCCCACGTCTGAATATGACTGAAGTCTATCATACTTATTTTACAAATATTTTCCCATCATTTAAATCGTATCTCATTCAAGGTCATTTTTTCAATCATGAGCGACAAACATTTAGTCGGGTTAGGATGTTCGGCCTGTTGTTGTTTGAAGTAATTATATTTTTTTCACGACCACAGACCTTAATCAGTTTTTCTAGTTTCAACTGTTATCTTTGTCTTCTCGGTCTTCAAAGTCTATGTGGTAGTATGGTCTTGATATCAGAAGGCTTTCTTGGTTTAATGTTTGGTATTAACAGATAATTTAAACACCGAAATAAAAGGGAGCAATTTGCATTACCTGTTGTGCAATTTGCACTCGAATTATGACAACGCATAAGGCTGTGGAATTCTTGCATGTAAACCCTTTATCACGCTGGCTGTTCTGTCAATATTTACTTCTGCAGTTGGGTTTTTGCGCAGTTAAGCTGTTTGTAGAGAAAGGCCATTGTTCTCGTTCTTCCGCCATGTCTGCAATCGCCAGATTTTCTAGTATATGTGCTTTTCACTTTACTGCACCGTTACTTCCTCATAGACAAACGTTAGCGTCCTCACTAGTTTAAATTACAAGAGCTATTGTTAATCTCTGTCGTTTTTCTGTGGTTGTTAGTGGCCGTTCAAGTATTACCTGATCGATATTTTTCTTGTAGTTGGTTCCTGACCCCATTGTAGATGCTCACTTTACTGACAAAAGGCGTTGAATATAACTTCATGCATCAAAAAGAACCTCGGGCTTTTTCCTGTGGTTCAATGGCCCCCGCATTCTTTTAACTATTGGCTTTATTATAATAGGCTCATTCTCAGCCTGATTCCTAAGATAAATCTTACTAAAACAACTTGACTTGCCTTTTAATTGGCTTCGTCGCCATTACGTTCACTTATTTTTTTTGTGTCCTTGAGGTCCGAATTGGTCGTTGGGCGCACGGGAGAGGATTACTCCACAGCCGAACCATCCAATGTATTTATAGCTCCATCCCGGGTAGGTTCACTATGTTCTATTTGGAGCTCATATTGGACATGGAGTGAGTAAAAACGCACTTAAATCTTCTTTTTTTCCGCTGTTCTATTAGCCGTTGATTAAATTAACGAGAAGCGTAAGTTTAATTTTGCGCCAGGTTCGTTATTCTACGATTTTAATAGTCTTGACTTGGGAGTTAATGTCGTTTCTGAAAATTATTTGGGCTTAATTTAAGCGACTGTTACAAACTGAGGTATGCAACACGTTGTGTGTTAATGATTGCCTAAATTATTGCAGTTGTATCTAAATTCCGGTAAATGGCCCAGAGGCATCTTGCGCTGGCGATTACTAGCGGCTTACCGTTAGGTACGCACTGTAAAACCACGATCTTTTCTGATAATTTTCTTCGAAACTACTGTCTTGTAGATTCCCGCCTCGTTCTCGGTCCCTCTTGATTTTTGCGAACCATTGGCAACATTAAATGTTGACAGTTCCACATCGGCCGCCACAGTAGCAGGCGGTAGTGGAGGCTTTTGTTCCAAGTTCCTTCTCCGTAGCTGCCGTCGGAAATCATCTTCGTTTACCTCCCAACCCTCCATTACAGTTGGCAGCGGGACAAAGACTGGTGCCAAAACACACTCACCTCCTGCCCCTGGTAGCTCTTTCTTCGTTTCCCGATTTTTCGGAAGCTTTCTTTCGAGTTCTAGCAATGGGGCTACTCAGCAACAGCAGCCTCAAAAGTGTCAAAGGCGGCTCTATTTCATGCGACATGCTGAGCGCATCGACATCTGTTTTGGACGGGCCTGGACCACGCGATGCATTGACCGACGAGGTTATTTGCGCAAAATGCGGTTTTATTCATCTAAATGAACGTCATTAGTCTGTTTATGTCTAGTTTCCGGTTAAACTGAAAGATCTGGTTGTGCATGTTTCATATTTGGAAGGTCCTCCGTTTTGCTTTACGCTCGGACTACCTAGCTGGCTTTTAGCAGTACATATTTCAATTTGTTTGAACTGCAACTCTGTGGTTACATTTCCGAATTCGGCGATATCCTAACTGAGTAGTCGGTGGTTCGGCAGGACGATTTGCTATCCATACCTACCAGCGTTGGTTGGTCTTGTCAATGAACCTGCTCATGCATAATTTATCTGACCCATCGCTGGGTAATTTCATCCCAGAGGAGTTCAGTTAACCAACGTGAAAAGATTTGGCATTGACGTAACGCTGATTATTTGCATTTAGATTTACGCAATTTTTGGTAAGTAGAATAAGAGACTCGATTTTTGGTAGCTCCTTCCAGTAATTGCTTTGTTTTCCCACTCGTCAAATAACGAAAGCATTAGTGGGTTGACACCATTACGATGAGCCACTAAACTAGAAATTCTTTTACCTGGTTGGTATTCTTGGCCGCATTTTTAATTGCTTCTTGAAATCCAGGGTTTTAGTCGTATGCAGCATTCCGTACATACAAACGATTCGACAGGTCATTTAGGAGGTTGCAAATAAATTAGTCAACGCGTGTCGGCTCATTTAGCTGCCACTGTTCATGTTCCCTTCTTCCGTGATGCAAGACAAATTATTGATGTGCCTACTGCATGCCTCTGCAGTAGTTTCGGTCTTATTTATTAACTTGCCTGTGTATTTGACTATCATGCCAGGGATTCTCTCTCACGTATTATCCCAGTAATCCACTCTCAGGCGTAATTTTGTTTGTGTGGATTGAAGACACGTCATTATTGGCAGGGAAAGGATTCTTACACGCACCTAAACCTGGAATTCTGTGCACAGTAATTATTATTATTATGAATGCCTTTAATAACTACTTGAACTTTTCATTTAGTTGTCAATATATACAATTATTTGGAGTGTAAATGGTAAACCTTCCGATGTGTAGGGCCTCGGTGGTTGCTCCTGTTTTCAATGCTTGCATGAAATCATTTATTCATCCAGGGAGTGATTTAGCATGCCAACCGAGTGTTTTGGTACCTCAAAACAATGTGTTGTTCAAAAATTAGGACGTGTAGGTAAAAGGCAACCCTGTACTGGTTTCAGACTATTGATAAACTGCATTTTAATTTTATTCAGGAGGTTCAGATCGTGACGGTATTTCTAGCACTATCCACTAAAATATCATCAGAAGAGAATCAAGTATACTGTGGTTTGGGCTTAACGTTGTCTAACTTACTCTTCATCTGTGCTTCAGGTCTCTACCGTCGGGTGAACTTAAACATGCCACCGTGCCTCCCTGTTCGCGAGGACATAATTGACCACGCCCTGGACTCTCCCTTGACCCAGGTTGGTATGTTTGTGGCGGCGTCGTGCGGTCGGGCGCTCGCCGAGGCAGGCATTCGGTTCTCGGCCTGCTACGCCTCCCCGGCTCTGCGCTGTGTTCAGACTGCCTGCCAGCTACTTCACGCTGCTGATCACGTAAGCACTTCGTTCGTCCTTGCACCAATCACCCAACTGCCCAATCTTGTCCACTCGGTTTTGTCAAATTTTAACAGAAATCCTGCCTTGATTCATTGTTAGACGTTTGCAGTCTCCTTGCCTGTGCATTTGTGCTATGACTCTGGTCTATGATCTGTCTGATTGCATTGTACTTTATGTCCATTGGGACAAGCCGACGTGAGCTATGTTTTTTATCGGTTTTTCCTTGTGCTCATACATTTCTAAATACCCCGTTTTGTCCGTACTAATACTTTTGGTGTCGACGGGATCCCAATAAGCGCTACTTCGTCACCTTTTTAAGTCACTCGAAGCAGCGCCGTCCTACTTCTTAACCGTTTGTAATTTGTGTGCGGATCATTTTAAAGGGCTGTGTGGTTGTGCTTCCTGTTGTTTAATGCTGTAAATGGCTAGGTAATGTTTTTGATGTTTCAATCTTATTCACCCCTTTTGAATTTAGCATTCCACCACTCTGGATTCGCACAGTGCTATGTAGCTCTGTTCGAAACTCCTCCACAATTCGTTTGCACAATATTCTAACGGTCCGTTATTTTAATTCAATAAAATTTATTGCAATCTCGAATAAGCACATTGTCACGAACCCTATGATTTCATTGATGAGGTAACCTTCTGTCCGCCTGCTGTTGGTCGAATGATAAACTGCATCGTGAAACAAGCATTAATTCTCATTTTCTTTCTCGAATCGTGGTTTGGGGCTAATCATAGTGGCAATTAGTTTTAGAAATTACAATCCCATAAAATTTCAAGTTTCCACAAAATTTCCTCTATTTCTTCAATTGTGTTGCCCCTATTAAACTCATGACACGGTCTTGTATCACTGTTTACTTTTTATATGAGTGGTAAGTTTTTTTTTCATTTAATTTCCGTGAATGGTTTTCTTGGAATTCCGTTCTCAATTAAACATAATATGAAACCATTTTCCGATCTTGATAACATATTTTAAAACAACTACGTCGCCAAAAATTTTATTAAAGTGTACAGAATTATTCGTCACATGTAAAACCAATGTCTAGTGTATCAGAAAAGCAAATAAGCACATTGGTTAAATGCATAGTTCTGGTACGAAGTCACTATTTTGAGAGCTAGGTGTTTGTCCTTCCAAACGTCTATATACAGGTGTTTTGTACGTTCCAACATCGACGATCGATGTTTTTAACGGCCGGATAACATCGAGCCAACGGACATTGTTGTAGGTATATTCTCCGAAATGCAATATTTTCTTGAAGGTGTTTTAAATTCTACCCTTTTTAGCCGAATTGCAAATGCGTTTTTGATTCAAACCAATAAACGCCTTGCTCAAGTATGTGTACTTCTAATCGCGGATCACTTAACTTCGTGGTCATTTTAATAGGGGTGTCCCACTTACGGTGCTTTTGTCCATTTATTTGATTCTTAGTCAAGTTTATTTAAACGAGCACATTGTTTATTGCAAACCTCATTGGAGCATGAAGACGGAGATGTGGCGAAGAGCTGTTTCGTGTTTTGTATTTTCTTTTTGTGGGTTTCGCAGCTGGATCCTAAGTCTAATAGCGTGACTGTCTTATGGGATTCGCCAGCTTAAACATGCTCCTAATCGAAATCCAATACGTTACACCACTTAAAAACCTCACGTTTCCTTGGGTTCCTGCTAGTTAGTGTGGTTAAATGAAGTACTTTCGGTGCCCTTTCTTACACTTTTGAGACCTCCACTTTCACCATAGTCTGCAATCTATTTATACGGTCTTGGGGATCTGTCCCTTACGGGTGCCTGATCTAACTGAGACCAATGCTTTCATAAAGCTACTCTGTCAAATCGAAAGTTCTACTGACGCTTGAGGGTAGCAATATTTGTCATCTTATTTCTTTTCTGTCAATGTTTTACTGCACTTTCCACTGTGTTATTGCCCCAATCGTTGCTCTTTTTATGCAAGTTCCTTTTTATGGCGTTTTTCCGCCATTTTTCGCGTAAGTCAATTCAAGCGATTATTGGACTTGTTGATCCTGATCAAGTCGGTTTCCTATTTGATGGTGTGATTGGGATTTGAACGAGCTCTTTCTGGGGTCGTGGTGTTCTGTTTAATTCCCATCGGAATACTAATGTCGATTTTTTTCAACAACTTTAAGTAAGTATTTAGATCAGCCCAATTATCTACGTGTCCTTGAGCGTCAGTCTGAGTAATTGAGCTCGCGCTTTTTTTTCTTTAGAGCAACCTCGCTGTGCGAATTGAACCGTTTCTGTTTGAGTGGCTTGGCTGGTACTCGGGTAAACTCCCCAATTTTTTATCTCCCTCGATTTTATCGGAGATGGGCTACAATGTGGACACAGGGTATCGTTCTGTGTCTTCAACGGAGCAACTTGATCTACAGGAAAGTGTATCTCAATTCTACGCTCGTTCAACTCAACTAGTCAAGGATATTCTTGACCAGCACCAAACCACGGGTAAAAATATGCCTTAATCCGTGCCTTAATACTCAGCGATGTCCTTAGCAATAAATTTTGCGGCTTTTCTTGATAATTTTCTTCTGATTCACGTGTCAAATGCCCTGAACGTTTTTCCCCTGCCTATGTGGTCCGAAGCAGCCACAAATGCCCACTCGTTTTAAGGTCTGTGTTTCGATTACAAAATGGCAATCCAAGTTTGTTAGACTGAAGTTCTTGGGGACTCATTCAGCAGCAGAAGAATTCCTTTATTTGTCCTATGCGATTCCTTGCATCCCATCAACCAGTGTACCTGGTTAAGTACGCTTATTCGGGACGATCTTGAAACGGCGTTTTGTGCACAAACTTGGTCTCACACCCCTATGATCGTCTCCGCTTCTGATATTTTCTCTGGCTGTCGCTTCTTAATGTCAGTGACTGTCCAAATCAGCGACACAAGTCTTGCGATTCGTCGCGACAAGTTTGTGTAAAATTAACGCCGTCTCGACGCCATATTAATGCCTCATGTGACCCTTTTTTGTCAGATGTTATGCTACTCTAAGTCGTGAAATTTTAAATGCTAATTTTGAAAAAAGAGTCCCTATACGACATCTATGTTACCGTTTCTATACATTGACGCAATCATGCCAATGTGCATGAAATGTTAACTATCACGGGCGTTTGCGAAGCTCTGGTATGGTCCACGTGGTTTTGTATGGTTAGTTTTCTCAGTTTTTTGCCAAGACTGTTGTTCACATTTTGAGCCCTAAGCGCGTCACTTAAAATAACTGGTACCCAGTCACTCTGAATCATTTAGTGTCTATTTTTAATAACTTGTTTACACCACTGTATTTCTTTAAGGAGTTCAGTTTTTTAAATATTCTGCATTGGTGTCTGTTTACCACAACCTAGTGTTTGTTTTGTTAAAAAAATTTTTTAATCACATTAACTCCTTTCGTTACCTAATTTTGCGATTTTCTCCTTAAGATGCCAACATTCTGGTGGTCGGGCATGCTGCTACCCTGGATTCTTGCACTCGTGGTTTGTTAAAAAAGCGCTTTCGCAGTGGTGGCGGTGGTGGTGGCAACGGTATTTCGTCAAACGGAGCCGGTGGCGGCATGAATGACGTCGAAGAGCTTCATCGTCGTTGCGCCTCGGTGCCCTACTGCGGTCTGCTCTGTGCTGTTGAGGGTGGTCGCCGCTGGCGCCTAGAGGAACCCCCGATACCCCCTTTCACCCATGGGCAAAATATCGATTTTGATTGGCGCCAATTTCAAAGTTATTCGTTCTGTAGCTTTGACATCAAATAGGATTACTAAGTCGCGATTTCGACCGACTTCTTCGTCTTGTCGTTTGACCTCTTAACCGCCTGTCTTTCATCTTATCACCAAATTATGCCACAAAGCGCTGCCTGTATGATAAAATCAGTGACATATTCTATTGTAATTATAGTGTGTACTTGTTTATGTGTGTGCTTGTTTGTATGAAGTCTTGCTTTTACCTAAACGACTTATTATGTTTATTCGTATTTCCCAATGCGCCATTTCCCACATAACCAACATCCTTGCTGTGGCTTTGTTCCTGTCCGAGGAACAATTGCATTTGTGAATATATATGTCTGTAGTAATTATAAAACAAGAAAGAATTTCATTGCGGATTATTGACTATTTGTCAGTTACTAAATTTAAAGCTACTTTTATATTTGAATGCCCATTATTTCGATTTCGAATGGTGGAAACCCCTTATGTGTTGTGGGCTTTGTTTTGGCTTCTCTATCCTGATGGCAAAGGATGAAGCCATTGAGGGGAATACCAAAAGTGGTGTCTTTAACTGGACTGACACTAGGATTTTTCGCGTTTTACGCTAAGCCACCACAAGGTCATGGTCACAAAATTCAACCAATGGCGACTGAATAACCTTAAAATCATTCTTCGGAGGTGCGTTCGCTATTCACGTGCTACTTTGTTGGCGAGCCGCACCTTAATGCCTTTACATCCCCTTATTCTCGCTTGCCACAAGGTGATTTTGCTACTGTTCCTTTACGATTTACGTGCTGGTGGTTTTGCTTTAAATTTCCGTTGCTCAAGAAAGCCACGAAATCTGGACATTAAGATGTGATAGTTTTATGTGTTCAGACGCTGGCATGTGTTTTAAATGTTTGAACTTCGACATCCAGTGTTGGCACATTCGAGCAATTATTGCGTCACTGTTCTCAAATGCAGCCTAAATTGTAATGGTGGTCTTGCCCCATTACACCTGTTCGTATTATGCTAGGTTTTTGAGTAAATGGCAATAGTGAAGTTGTGTAATGCCTAATTCAGTAGAATGTATTTCTTGAGGTGAGTTGAAGTCAAGTCATAGTCTCCTGGGCCGACTATGTTTCCAGTTAATTTACCGAAATCAAGCGGAGTTGATTGCTGACATCGGACTGGAATGATTAAAACAATTTAATTACCATTCTTGTACTTGTTCATTATTTGCATGTTTAATAATCAGACCAATATACCTTCGTAGATTATTGTTTATAATCTAAAAGTTTTAGCTTTTGAAACAATTCCAAGATTTTGGACCTCGATATGTCGATTTCAAAGAAGTCAGTGCATTCCTGGTAAGAGATCGCTATTCTAAGCGAGTGGCTATTTCGTTCGTTTTATAAATGATGACATCTTCAGTAAAGTGTTGCGTGTTCCTAGAAGAGGGTTTAAGTATATTGCTTACCACGATAACACCTAATCAGGCTCCAATGTGAACAAAGTTCGCAGCCATATTAGATCACCTCAAATGCTTGTCTTTGCAATTGAGTAGTTTTAGGGTAAGATTTTCAACCAGACACAGACAAGAGCGGATATCGTGATCCTATATGATGGAAGGCTAAACCAGTATGATCGATTCTGGTGGATAGCGGTTGTGAGGCGTTTCTGGTCTCCCATCTTCCAACTAAGCCTATTTTGTTCCACTTATCTTCACACCAGGGCTCGAGTATAAAATAATACGTTACCGTTTTAACATCCATTTATGTTCACAGGGGATTGTGTCAACAATTACCGCCAGTCACCGGGACAAGTAATCGAGTTCCTATTTTAGTGTTGATAATTTTGCCATTAACACGATGGATCAAATACCCATTTTTGAACGCTTCAAACATTTTATAACTGCTAATGCATTTTGGCGCGTACATTTGGGCAAAATCGCATTTTGAGAGGACTAAATCTAAATCGTAGTTCAGTGTGTATTATGGTTCGGCTCGTTTCCCCGTTAGAGTAGATTTAGGAATTTATGAGCTCAATATTCGTACACTTTATCCGATTATGCATGTGGTAGATACTGGGTATTGCATGTATGCACATCTTCTGGTGTTTAACGCTTAATGATAACTTATCCACCAAAGGTATGTAAATCAACGGACTAAATGAATCACAATACCCAGTACCTAATTAAACTGATGAAAAGACCAATTTTTGTCACTTCACGATCGCATGTTGAATAAGGTGTAAATTACGGTTTTAAAGTATATTTAATTCAAAATAAACCCGCTTCGAAAATAGGCAACTTTTTTACGAGAGTTACTGCCCACAACTTAGAGATTGCAGCCTGTAACTTGTATGGTACAGTATTCATTATCCCTGGTGAAAGAAAATTTTGGTCACTGAAAATGCATTCAAAGTCATTTATATAAACAGCAGATTGTAACTGATTAGAACGGAAAAGGCTTTATACCTTGTAAAACGTTCTCGATACAAAGGCAATATTTAGTAGCACCTCCCATCGTTGAGTTCCATTGAATTTGGTCATTGACTACTATCATAATCATGGCCACTACATAACAAAGATACAGAAATCCGGCTTGAAAATGCTTCCACCTAACTGTTCAATGAATTCTTTTTCAGTAACCTGAGGAACCTCAATTTCGTCTTTAGGGATTGCGAATATTAACTGCGCAAACAAATGAACTGAAATGCAAAATGTCAGTTATCTTGAATTTATGACATTATTAACAGCGTTTTAACTTTAATCTTTGTACATGGCTTCGTGTCTGCATATGTAACATAACTGTTGCAAGCGATTTAAATTAGAACCTTGGGTTAAAATGTGATGAAATCAAGTAAATCATATTAGGTTTGAAAAGTGTGTTATTATAGGCTAGATAATAATTTTATTGTGATCATTACAATGAAAGCAGATCCATTATTACAAGCTGTTGCACTATTTTATAAGATGGTTTATGTGAAAATTACTTTAATATTCGATCATTTTAATAATTTTTTTTTAACAATTCTTTTTCTTTTCTCTCAAAGACGACTGCACTTCAAAATGTGCTTGATTTATTTAGTTTCTTAAAGCATCTTTTTTTGCGTAATAAAATTCCCTTTTTTATAGCATCCAAAATGGGCAAAATGCATCCTTTTCAGTTACACTTTGTAAAGACAAATTTTTAGTAATTATTTTGACCTTGGGCACTTTTCAAATTTTATTGGTATTGTCTGTTTGCTCCCTTGTGGCTGTGCTAGTCAGTTTCTGTTCTACAAAAGACTTTTCGGATGGTGTGGCTGTTTGATGGGAAACATTTTCAGACGAAGGCCTGTTGTTGAGGTATGCAGAAAGGTTTATCCTAGTACATCATACCCTCGCGATTCGGTATATTTCGACGATCCAAATGCTCAATTTGCCAACAATTACGTCAAAACAACAAAGTATACAATTCTGACGTTCTTGCCTCTAAACCTGTGGGAGCAGTTGCATCGATTTGCGAATTGTTACTTCATTTTTATTGTTTTTCTCAACTTTATGCCTCGCGTAGAGGCTTTTGCCAAAGAAGTCTCTGTTATTCCTGTGCTATTTGTTTTGGCGGCCACAGCGGTAAAAGATGGTTTCGAAGAATTGAGGCGTCATCGTGCTGATCAAAAAGTAAATAATACAGAGTCAGAAGTATTCTCAGTGTAAGCTCTATGTATATTTATTTCAAATCAAATCGATTCCAAAGCTTATTTCTTACTGCATCTGGTCGATGAAGGATACATTGGCTAACCTTGCTGTTTGTTTATTACTGCTTATCGTAGTAAGTGATCTGTACAGGCAAGTCGACTCTTATCTCTGTGCCTTCATGTAGTAACTGTCTTCGCGTTAGCGAAGCCTCGAGGTTTGAGGTTTTTAGCGGGAACTGTGCATAACCCGAATAAATTGATATTAAAAAGGTCTTGTCAGGGCCAACTAATAATATTATTGAATATTCTGAATCAGACAAATTTTGCGTTTTAGCCAACTAATCTGGTGAGGATAATTAAACATTGATGGGTCTCTGGCCTTACTTTAGTGCCGCTTTATTATTAAACGGCTAAAGAATGTACTAGGCTCAAGCGTTTTACTAATTTTCCTTTGTCCTAATAGTCGTATGCAAATGTTTGACCATGTAATTTTGGTTTTTCAGAGATGAAAGACGTTATGTAAGACGTAAATGGGCAGAAATTCGCCCCGGTGATTTCGTTAGGCTTCATGCAAATGAAGTGATACCTGCCGATATTTTATTGCTTAAATCCTCTGAGCTTTCTGGAATGTGTCATATTGAGACCTCAAATTTAGACGGGGAAACCAATCTAAAGCAACGCGAATGTGTCCGATCGCCTTATTTCCAGGTATGTCAGTTCATCGTCGGTGCAGGTTATTTCTCGTTTCCGGTAATATCCTTTGTAAAGTAGTATTTTGATAGCATTATATTATCATCCTAAATATGAAAAATCGTCGAATACATCATAACGTATCTTTCATGGCCACTTCGATTTTTAAGGCCAAAATCACTGATAATAAAATTCATGATTTTTTAAGTTTTACTTCACACCTGTTCTAGTCATAGGAGCATATTAGCTCAGGTATTTTCTTGGTTTTTTTCCATAGAGGCGTTCGTAGTAACCGGCCGTTATCGACAGCTTTGATGGGTTAGTTTACGGTGAAATGAGTGTCTTGCGACTTTAAAAGTCGGGATTTAATCAAAGCAACGTCAACGTTTAAAAGTTCTTATTGACATTATAGTCCACTAGAACCTTGTAGTGGTTTAAATAATGAGGCTTTTTTTAAATGTCCTAATGGAAATACCTTTTGAAACATACATGAAGTGATCACATATACGTTAAAGAGCTTGTACAGTAACGACGATCGTTGATTTAGTTCTCAGCCTAGTAGTAGTCTAGAGGTCGTTATGGGATTTATGATGTGAACTTTTTCCTTTTGTGGGGGCTGATGACTATTTAATCGTGAATTTGTTGGGGCTTTGTGGGTAAAAGACCGTTTTTGCCTTTTATTATGGTCACAGGGGCATCACTCTTCTCACGAAGGCGCTTATTTGCTTCAGGAAATTAAAATAAAGTTTGCTGGCACAAATTTTCTAGCGTCGAATAAATCTAACTAGTACTCATAAGCCCAAAATGCTTCGACCATCGCATTGTGGTAAAAATAAACTAAATAATATCGACTTGCCTATTTTGCCTATATGTCTACCCTCAATTTCATCCAGCTGTAGAACGCCTAATTTCTATTTATCGATTTCCTATTATTTACGTCTAAATTCCGCCATTTTCTAGATTTCGTTATTTGTGTTAATTTAGTTTCTTTATGTTGCTCAAAAAAGTGATTTTCATTTTTAAGTTCATTCTTAATTTAATGGAGCATGTATCTACCTAGCTATGTTTACGTTAAGCCATTATGATAAATATTAACCTCTTTTATCCGAGTTCTTTAATTTTCATAAATTTGCTCCCTTGCTATATCATCACATAAATTCTATCAACAACTATCGATTCCTAACGATTTCTTGACTCAGGAACAGAATCTCGTACCTTTTGTCCTGACAGTATTGGCCGATCTTATTGCTCAGAATCCCTTCAGAAAATCTGCTTAAAATCTGCCATTGCATACTGGGTTACTATTTTAATGGAATTAATGAGCTCGCAGTAACACCCCCAGCCAACATAGGTTGCCCCTTTCTAATGTTTTTTTACATAATGGCACTCTGTGATAAAAGATCGCTGAGTTTGCGCTCATCTTACCTCTGACAATCCTCGAAACGCTGCCCGTTTGTCATCGTTATTTGTCATTGCAAAATCACATCATAAAATGAGACTGCCAGAACCTCTTAAGGCCACAAGTGTTCTCATCACAGAGACGCAGTGCCTATTTGTCACCTGAAACACCCTATTTTGCAAGCAGGCCCCTTTCCCCAAATGTTCTTCTGCATTCTGTTTCATGTGACATCTTTTTAGGCCTTTACTCCGGAGGAATTCTCTTGGCCGGTAGAAGTTGAGGCGCCCAACGCGGAGCTATACCACTTTAGCGGCAGAATGTAAGCCGTTTTCATTTGTCTGCTTGAAAAAAAACACTGGCCAAATAATGTTATATGGCGCCCGTACTTGAAGTTTAATCCATGTTAGCTAGACCTTACGAACTGCCTTCTCTGCCATGCCTATGCGTTTTTGTCACCGGTGTAAGGTATCGAGTGAGCAGCCTGTAAGTAATGCAGCACCTTCCGTTCCATTGGCTTTATGTTTGAGTATTTCAGAAGTGCTACGTCTAGAATTCAAAACATTGTTTTAGATTGAGAGGTTTTTAACAAACAAACCAGGAACCTTATCTCGTCATTATGTCAAGTTGGTTAGCTGTTAGTGAAGTGTCAATTCGTTGCCCTGGCCAACTCAGTGGCCAACTTTCCAACTCTGACTAGAATGGATTCACAGCTTTCTGCACAATGTCAAAACATCTTTTCAGATGTACATTTAAGGTTATTTAATAAATTAAATCGATGTCCGAACCCCCTCATACTATGGGCCTCAGATAAGTGTTCTTGCGCAATTACTGTTAGTACCAGTAACCTATGGGAATTTCCTCGTATCTACTGTGCAATGTGTTTACTCTTGCTGGGTTATTTGAAATGCTAAAAGACCACTAGAACACCAATTTTCGGTTGGCAAGTTCACCATGCCACATATTTAATAACAAATTGCAATTCTAAGCATTGCAGTTTAATCCGGCTCCCACTGAGCACCTCGGTTGTCTCCACATTTGCATGTGAAAATTTTCAGGTTTCTTCTTTTGGGACGGCGAATTTTAAAGCCCCATTTAGACGTGGCTTACTTAGTCTGTTATCATTTGTTATTGGTCATAAAGGTGTCTTTTTACGTTTCATTCAAGTATTTTGTTCCGTATGTTTTCACTTAATGCTTACCTTTTGTGAAACTGAATGCTGCTTTATTTCGTAGTTACTCACCGGAGCCAGTGATCGTCAGGAAAGACAACCTCCTTCTTCGAGGCTGCATCGTTCGTAACACTGACACGGTGGAGGGAATGGTTATATACGCAGGTAAAATCTGTTTACCCTCGCATTCGGAAAAAAATCATTTTTCAGAGGTGTTGTATCCTGCCGTTGCAAGATTTGATCGCAAAATCAATCTTGATTCAGGCAAATTGGTGTTCCCAAGACGTATATTCACAGGATGTGTCCTTGAATAGAATGAATACGGCCAGAACCGAAGAACTAAACCTTGTGTTGAGCTAGGGAGTCGAGAGTAAATTAAGGCTTGCTGTCTCTTGTTAGTAGGTATAGCTGCCGTAGACAACCAATTTGATTCAAAAGTCCAAGCAGAATATGGCCTTAAGACGTCGTCGGAACGTAGTCATGGTTCGTGGACGAATTGCATTCTCTTAAGTAAATAACAAATGGTGGTTTTGCGTTTGATAGTAAGTGGATGGCGAAAACCAGTTGCTGTAACTGACGATGTACTTGAAAAACGAGGTATCAACTGCCTCTTGAATTACGTAATCTGGAGTACGGTAGTGAGCAATGTGGCAAAAATAAGCCATAGTCACTTATGGTGTTTGGGAAAAGGTACCAGTTCTGAATTGCTGACACGAATGTGTCCATGTTCCTGACGGCCGACTGCTGCGTTGTCGTTCTATCACCATTAGGTAGCATAACATGAGGTTGCAGAAAATTCTAGGAAAATGCTTTTTTGTGTGTATTCAACAGTTTAATCTGATAAAAATATCACATGGGGCGGGAATCTTACGTAGCGTCCTATGCGCTCTTACGCGGTCACTGAATGATCCCCTTCAGATGTGACAATTCAATTCATCCATGGTTTATTTCGCACGCCATTAATGTCACCCGTCTCCAGAGCGCGAAACTCCCCCAGTTTGCCTTTTGCCCAATGCTCGACTTGTCGTGTTGCCCTGTTACGCACTAATGACACGTGCTTTTACTCCTTGTGTGACTAGGTCGAGAAACCAAAGCAGCCCTCAATAATTCTGGCCGGAAGTTCAAGCGAAGCAAACTAGAACGCCGACTAAATAGGGATATCATCTGGTGTATTCTTATCCTTGTCATTTTGTGCATTACTGGCTCAGTTGGTAAGAGTTGCTTACTTTTCAATCAAATTTCAACCGTATTATTCCATGGATCCACTGTTTTTCCATAATTTACAATGCATAGTACCGTTTAGTTTCTACGGTAATCTCACTATTACGAGTTTTTTGTGTTTTAATCATGTCTGGAAACTAATTAAATAGTTCAATTCAAATTGGTTTTACGTTTTATGTTTTATTCCATATTTCACTTCACGTTTGCTTCTTTTTGCCAAGGTACTAGGTATGTTCCGGTTATTTTATTCTTTTAATTATTTTTACTGTCATTTAGGTAGTTATATCTGGCTCCACAGTCTCCCCGGTGAGAACATTCTTTTCCTTGAAAGCCTCGAGTCCAAAGACATCCTGCTTAGCGCCTTCATAAACTTTTGGACGTTTGTAATTATCTTTCAGGTGAGAAAACATAACTTGTAGGCTATTTAGGCCTTAAACTTACCAAATCTTGCGAAGTGTGCAAACTTTGCAATTTGTGTTCATCTTCCGGTTGAACAACTGGTTTTATCAATTAAGAGGCTTATTCCCCTACAGTTGCCTACTCTTTCAGTGTCACCTGTTACTGTTGGTGTGCTTCTAGCCGCATGATCGAACCGTCATTATTCAAGCATATGCTTGAAACCATTACAAAAACTATTTCTATGGTAATATCCAAAGGGTTAGAAAAAAAATGTCTTTTATGCAACTGTCAGATTGCCGTTTTGTGTGGCAGCGTGAATGAGACAGGCGACTTTTAGTCAAATCAGTTAAAAAGTCCCTATGTGTGAGATTATGCAGGAATCAAGCACAGTTTGCTTATGTTTGGGTAAAGTATTTGTGACCACTTTCCAGCTAAGATTACTGATACCCTAAATACCATATTCTTCAATTGGCAGTTGCCACTGAAACTAAGATTCTAGTCAGAACTTGAAGCAGACGGTAACGCGCACTAAACACGTCTAACGTTATCCATATAGTTTGAGATCATTGTAATAGGACATTGGCTCATGCGGGAATGCAATAGCCAAATTATTGATTAATTTACGCTATTTCATCCATCCAGGACTTAATTTAAAGTCAGCAATGGTTTTAAAGATTTCATTCCTAAAATCGTTCGGGGCTAAGAATCACACAAAATATCTAATAAGTCCGCACAAGTCGGCACACAAGTTTGATTTTGACGCGCTCTCAATTTGTATTCGCAGCGGAGCTGGGCTTAATTTTAATGCACCTGAAACGCTAATCTGCCTTATTTTACCTATCCTACTACTCGTCACCACGATGTTTACCTTCAAATCTACTGAATTCCTTTGTCGTTGTAGTAATGTAATTATGCTCGGATCACAAAGCCTGTCATAAAACTAATGGCTTGGATTCGGGTTTCCATGGATATCGTGGTATTCCATGTATTGTTTGGATTTTATTCGCCATTGTGTAGAGGAATGCATAATCCACGTAACAACTTTGTGATGTACTACTAAGCTTAATCAAGTGAAGTGTGTTAGCATGTGCTGACAAGGCGCCTACTTTGAGTACCGGCTGCATGTCTTGGTGTTCTCTTCCATAGGCTGTGATCCCTCTACCGCTATACATCACCATCGAGGGTGTCAAGATACTTCAGGTTTTCTTCATGCACAATGACTTGGGCCTCTATGACTCAGAGCGTGATCGGCGAGCCGAAGTGCACGCCTTCAACATACCCGAGGACCTTGGTCAGGTTGAGTACGTCTTCTGTGATAAGACCGGCACTCTTACAGAGAACAAGATGGTCTTCAAACGAGCCGTTATCAACGGAGTCGATTATTGGGTCGATGAAGGTACTATTAGCGTAACCCATGTTTGGTCATTTAACACCTTGGTATAGAAACGCCTTCCCTGTGCATTCTGAATAAATTTTGGTCGACAAATATTTATCTGCCAATTGTTACGCGTCTTTTGTGCATATTTAGTCAAACTTCACTGTGATTCTTATCCTGTTCAATTTTTACTTGTTTGCATTCAAACCACGTACAAAAATGTTCATCTATGAAAACTATTTCATCTATTTTCAACCAATGCAAGACACTGTTTATTTACGAAGTAAGTTGGTTTTGAAGCCTCATTGAGCCTTCTGATCACATCAGGGTCGGAAGTTGCAAAAACCTCAGTGTTGGGTTCGAACCCACACCGGGTCCGCCGCTTGATGATGACGGTTTGCGCCAAACAGAAATCTCGAGGAGACTGCGGAGACCAAAGGCAAGTTAAGCACGACATTTCACTCAACAGCTCGACTCTTGTATTGTGTCGACAGGCCAGAGGCGTGACTGATGGCGGTCGTTTAACCCAATGGGTTTACGGGTGAGCTACTAGGTGGATATGGGGCTGAATCGTAAGATGCGTGGTGTAGATGAACAGGAGTGGGTACCCGCACACCCGGGTTCATGATCAGAAGTGTTCGCGTAAACAATACCAGTGCTAACGTTGGGGGAAGGATAACCTGGTCGTAAGTCAATAGTGGATCAACACGAATAATGATATGCTTTTTTATTTCAGAAGCGCCTGTCGAAATATTGGATGCTAATGCACCACATCTGACAAGTGTAAGTTTTCTATGCGTCACTATTTTGTGCTACCCTTTTTAATGCCCGATGTTGAGCCACCCTTGGCAGCTGTTTTGAATCCTTAAGAGACTGTGCATCGAATTTTTTGCCAACGCACACGCACATCAGCTTCCACTTCTTGGTGTAGGTGGTTTTAGCAGCATTGCTGTACGCCAGTGTGTTAAACCAACTAAAGCATATTTTTGGTGCATATCTTTAAGTGCGCCGAGGTGTCCTTCAGACAGCCATAGATGCAAAAAGTACAACCAAGTAAAGGTAACATGACTGTCCACATAGGTTCACAACAGTTGATCGCCGCTTCTTGGAGGCTGATTGTTGCAATTTATACACTTTAACAACTGATAGACGACTGCGTCTGCGAACACGAGACTCTCGGCAGTGCGCGATTTCATCCCCTTCGTACCCTCGGCGAGTGCACGATCGAGCCATTCCAGCCCAGCCCTCGGGACCGTGTCAACTTCTTGCGGGAAAGAGGAGGCGGGCCATGTTATGCCAGATCCATCTGTTTTCGAAGATAACGGAGACGACAGCCGAAATTGCCAACGTGTTCAAGACTTCTTCCTCTGTCTTACAATTTGCAATACCTGTGTTGTATCAGCCAACAAAAATGTCGCTGCTCCAGTAAGTCTTCTTCACCATGCACCATCACATGAATCGGGTCTCAGTGCAGAGCCACACACGGTTTCGGCTATCTCGTTTGCTCTAGGCCCCAAAACGTCTTAAATGCAAATGCGGTCGCATGTTTTAATCGGCCGAGCCTGAATTTGTATCACCTCATCTGTAATTTCGGTGGTTCAGGTTTGGTCGTTAAATGAATAGCATCATTTTACTAAGCTTGGGGGAGGTCGCCATTTATTTGTGGTCTGCGCGGCAACTTAAAGTAAAATGTTGAATTTCCAATGTATTTTTTTCGGAAATTAGTGTTTGACAAATCAGAGTCATCAAAATTTTAAGGCCTTATTTTTCCCGACAATTTTTAAGATGGTGGACCTTTCCTTTGTGCTAAAATTGCCATTTCATAGTCATTTAAAATATTGGCTTTCTCCTATGGTTAGTCTCGTGCTGATTTATTTGATACCAGTGGTTATGGCTTACCTTTTCGTAAATTAGTGCCTTTGATGTTTAGCAGCGTGGGCCTCTCGCCTTTGAGTGGTATTTCAAATATTTCAGTATAAGATTTATGCGCCCTTTTATCTTGCTCAATAACACAAATCTGGACATAAAATCCTAGTTTTTGCAGTTGCTGCCTATCAAGTCTTAAACATACTCCGTACCTGCTATTGTCAATAAAAGAAATAGCATAAATAACCATATCCTCAATGATAATCAAGTGATTATATCCATAGCCCTTTATTCTGGTCATGTTGATTTTAATGCAATTATTGACGCCTGTCGCCTAAGGGATGCGCTAACCTGACCGTTCTCATATAATCTTGTAAGCTTGTTCCACTTCGCAAAAGAAAGCCCTTGGCCCGTCTCCGTCTTGGAAGTAGAACGAAAAATAGCGCTGGCGACTCTTCTTTGACTTCCTCCCGTTTCCACCGTCTTTTTATCCGTGGCTCAAGAAATGAGATCTTCGAGGTCGGGGAAGAAGCCTCTGCTGACGAGAATGTCAATACGGATGCCAATACGCCCGACCGATCGATGCGAAAATCATTAAGCATCGGTAGCTTGTTTCCGCGGCGACAGCGCAAGACCGATCAGGCGTCTAAGGTGCCTGAAGATAAAATCCGACAGGCAACTAAACCGCCGAAACGGCTGCTCACCACCGTTGTCGAATCTCCAAGACAGAAAGGCGGAATGAACGCGGAACTCGCTTCCGATGAGGGGATCGAAAGGCCATCTGCAACTGCTTTGCCGATCTCAGTACGAAATCCAAATAACGATACTCGTAAGACATTACCTTCCCTTCCTACAATTCAATTTATCTCAAATTTAGTTTATAATTTACGTAATTTTACAGCGTCTTAGTTTCAAAAAGGCATGCGCTATGGCCATATAAAAATCTAAATTTGTGGCTTGGTTATTCTGTGCACTGTGCACGCTTTTGGAGAAATAAATTGGCGTTCTCGTTTTCGTTGAAGCAGGTGCGATGAACCATAGGTCTCTGGTCTAAGCTCAAGCTAAATGACTTCATTCAAATTTCACATTCGTATTAGCTTCACTTTGATTTCGCCGTTCCTGTCAAATTTTTACAGCTGCTGATATTTGCGTTGATAGTGTCATCCTACGTACTGCCGCAACTACTCTTTTGGTGGAATATCCTTTTCCCCACACAAATCTGCAACGGTCTTTGTGAAATTGATTTGAGTATATTTATTAGTCGTCTTTTTCATTCTGCGTGTAAGAACCATCAAGCGATACCTCGGTTTTATCGGAGAACGGAAGAAAGCCTGCAGCCGTGGAACCTCAAACCCCTCCCCATCGACATCTGTTCCAGCCCAAGGCAAGACCCTCCAACACGAAACACCTGAAAGGCCAGCAGCAATTGCAGCAGTCGAGTTCCGTACTGACGTCTGACAGCGATGACTGGGAGGCTCTTAGCCAGGCGGGTTCATCGACTTGCTGGCGCAGCAGCAACGATTCCCTTGTCAATCGGCCTTTTCACCACGTCTGTCCCCTCTCCGAAAATACACTCCAAAACGGCTACGAATCGGAGAGCCCGGATGAGGTTACTCTGGTCAAAACAGCGTGCAAGTACGGCTGCAAGTTATTGCAGAGGGGTAGCGATTTTGTCATCATTTGGCTCCCGGGTAAGTTGAGGTGCTTAACCTGTCTACTACTGATAACACCACCTTGGTTCGTTGTTTTTCCCTGAACTCGCTTATCACCACGGTATAAATGAAAAAAGATATGCGTTACCTGACTCTTTTAGCGTCGTGATTCCTGTAAACGTTCAAGTAGTTCCACGACCACTAAAGGATCCTTACTGTGGTCTATAAACAGCTCATTCTAATTTTAAATATTTTATCGACAAATTGCCATTTGAAAAATACGGTTTTTGCACTTTGAAGCAAATTTAGAACACTGCAAATATCTCATTCTGCTTACCGAAGGAGCGCTTTTTCGTGAATTAAAGAAAAATGAACGATTTGTTTAAGTTTAAGGAATGTGCGTTTTGGATCTTTATTGACTTTTGATCCGCTTCTATCAGATATCACCCAGGGGTGTCGTTATTTTTAAATTTTGCATTGCCTACCTGCAGGTGATGGCTTAATACGCGTGGAGGTACTCAAGGTTCTTCCTTTTGTCAACCACAGAAAGCGGATGTCGATTATAATTCGTCATCCTGAAACCGATCAAATTGTTCTCTATTGCAAAGGTGCTGACTCCGTCATCCTGTCCCGATTAGATCCCCACAACGGTAATTTTTTTTCATTTGTAACCTTTTGATACCACCTACCTTGGTGATACATTTTTTTTTCAGTTTTCTACTTGATTAATGCTCTACGGTTCTTACACGCAGTGTTTATTGTCAATTACTCAGTCAAACAAAACAAAACTTTTGTGAGCTCTAACTGAATGTCGTCAAGTCTGCCCCGAAGATGGACTCACTTGTCAAATCTCTGTTGTTTAGGAGGTTTTTTTGGCTAAATGGTTTAGCTTTTTGCCATTAAAAATCAACAAGGGTCTCACGTCACTACCGACTATGGGTTTGCTGTCAGGTTAGGGTATGCTCTCTTTCCTTAGCCCATTTTCATCTATCGTCACTCTCTTTGAGGCATCAGCTTTGTTCTTCCTACACTAAAAACGACTGGTTTAAAGCTTAAATAGGAGATTGAGCCTCTTTTATCCCAACTCATCGTTGATGCCCTGTGAATTGACTGGCTTTCGATTTATTAAACTTGTCAATTGGTACGTTATGGCAAATGCTTCCTTGGAAATGTTTCTTGTAGACGCGCCAATTTTTATGGCCATGAGGGCACTGGGGAAATCCAGAGGTTGGTAGGAAGACGAGAGGATGCGCTTGGCAGAAATCAAAATTCGTTCTCTGTATGCGTGTGTGTGTGTGTGTGTGTGTGTGTGAAAAGAGCGAAGGCGTTTGCAATCAATTTTTATGCGTTTTGCTGAATGGTTGTGCGAGCATAGAGGGTATTCTTCGGTTCTTTTTAAAGTTGCTCTCTAACCGGCCCTGTGTCTATACTATATGTACTTTTAATTATTTTTTTGTGTAACATCTGTTCCAATAATGTGTACATTTACATAGCGCCATGTGTGATCATTTGGCAACATTTCGCCTTAATTCGACACTACGAATACCCAAGTTTCCAATGCATTACTTATTGCTTGTGGCACCTTTTTCCACCAAATGTCGTCAATGCAAACCACCAACGTACTTAGATTTGTAATAACCATAACTCTTGTAGAAACCACTTGAAATTGTGCCATTTATAGATGATTAAACTGAAAGGCGTTGCTTCTACTTAAACCACACCCTAAACTTGCTCTTACCAGCAGTAGGGAGTGATGTAACCTAGCAACTGTTGTTGTGCTCATTGCAAGCGTTACGGTTTGGAAAGCATGCTTAGTGCGTGGTGGAGTGGTTTGTCTGTGTCAGGTTTTCTTACTGGTCTTAACTTAGTCTTAGCTGAGCAGTTTAGCAAATATGGACCTTTTTCTTCCAGTAAAGATATTTCAACCGGTGTTTTTCTCTGGCGAAAACGGAATGAAATGTGGTTTTTCGTCTTTATCTCAACCCAGCCCCCAATTGAAGTGTCTTCTTGCGTTCGGACTTTTTTATACCTGCGTGGCCGCGGCAGTGGTCGCCGCGCGCCTGACCTGAGCGGCGTGCACGGGCCACGTCAGTCCCATTGAGAGGGGCTCGTGTGTTGGCTGAAATTTTCGTGATCGTAATGAAATAGGCATTTTAAATGCGTGGCCACGGTGGCATGAATCCTATAGGTGCTAAAACAATCACAGCAATCAACCAAATACTGTTCCTACGATGGACCAAGTAGAATCCGTGGATTGTATCCGTTAGCTTAATTTTTTCTAATACATACGCAGTTATCGTTAGTATTTTGATCTTTAAGTTAGGTATCCCTCGCTTTTTTGGTTTTCAGTTCATCTTTGAAGCAGAACTTGCGTTATGTTTTGGAAGGCCTTTAGTCTTGTTAATTTCTTTTGAAATTTTATTTCTTACATATCGCGTCAATTTGGCTCAATCGGTGATCAGATAACATAATCAGTCATGTTCAGATTTCCGCACGACAGTCTACTAACAGTTTTTAATGCTGCAGAATTGGCGAGAGTCGAATGGTTTGAACTTTTATCATCTCTTTCATTTATTAGGGCAACATTTTAAGGTTAGCACCGAGGAGCGTTTGAGGGACTACTCTCGATCTGGTTTAAGGACCCTTGTGATGGCAAAACGGGTTCGTTTATTTTTTTACTTACTTAGTTTTGGCATCGAGTGAGGAAAATCTGGCCTGTAGTCGTTTTCGAATTCGTTCAGTTTGTGTGTTCTGGATAAATTTACTCTGCTATCGCGCATTATGCAGCGCATTCAATGTTGCAGTAATTTTCATTTAGGGTGCAATGTTGAATATGTGGTGACCTAAATTTCCTACGTACCTGCGTAGCATAATCTTGCTTAGAAACGTCAGCGGTTTGCTCATTATTCAAGTGCAAAACCGAAATCATATAAACGAATGGGAATGGGTGCGGTGGTGGCGACGGTGACTTGGGTTAGTTTAGGTCGGCTGTGACATGATAAACCAACTCTTTGAAAATGCACTGCAATTGGTAAGCGAAAAATATAAGAAGAGAACTCTTCAGTAACTTTCCTTAAGGCTCCTTTGGCACTTTCAACCATGACCCCTTGGCTACGCTACGTGTTTCTGTGCCGAATTGCCCATCGAAGGTGTCCGTAGTCCTTTTACCTGAATGCTTTACTAGGCGACTACTGGACAAGTCTAAATGGGGTGTTTTCAACAGTCTGCTTATCAAAGTTGTTCGCACAAAACGTTGCGTGTTTGGTATGTTGCAATCACAAGTCCACTATAACGTAGATGTAAGCTATCGTATCTTTGTCACAGAGTCGCTCTATTTTCATAATCCCTGAACGGACTACACACTGCGCACTGCTTTTCCGAAGTAATCGAGTATTCAATCTCACGGTTAGGTCAACTCAACTGCTGACATTGCCAAACAACTGGAGATTCTACTGCCGCCTACGACTCCAAATGTCCGTTAAATAGCAGTTCCGATTTTTGCATTGTTGGATTGATTTAATTGTTTAGAGTCGTGATTTAGGCTTCCACAGATCCGGTTCATCCTCCGGAGCATGACTCAATTGATTTGACATGCAGTACGTGCTTATAACCTCCTCTTTTTCCCCAGATGGTGCATTTTTCTCTTAAATCTAGGTGATTTCGGAATCCGAATACGAGAGATGGTCTTCTGCGTGGATGCTGGCCGAGGGGAACTACCAGTGTGCCGAGGAACTCAAATTCAAACTGATGGATGAAATCGAGGTCAACTTGGAACTCTTGGGTAAATACCACTTCTTTTGTTCACAACTCTCAGTTGTGTTTGAATGGGTAGGTAAATAAAAGTGCACCTGTGATAGGCTTCTCTCCGAACTAGCGTAAACACCTCAGTTTATTTTATCTTGTGTGTTTAAATATGAATGAGGTCATTATGATTGTAACTCTGATCTGAACCCTAATTAGTTACGTGGACAATTCACAGTTCTGGTGTTTGTTTAGCTCTAGTGTGTAGTGTTTAAAGGTGGAAAAGGAACTCAAAATTGCCTCGTTGCAAATCATTCAATTATGATGTAATGCGGGGCCTTCATCACAATCTTAGATTGTGGTTGGTGTTGAAGACTCTCTGGTAAGACAGTGCAGGGGAATTGACCACTTAAGTTGGGTCTTAAGTGCAAGTGTAGTGTTGCATTTTAACAAGAAGATGGTGAATCAAGGTGTACTGTCAGGTGTTTTTGATTGTGCTATAGGTTAGGGATAGACTTAGAGTCTAACTCTACTTACAGTTGAATGCTACTTTATTCCATACTTTGGTTGATTAGCCTTCGTGACTTCGAGGGTAGCAAGGGCTTCACTCGGCGCTCCTTTTGTGCTAAAACACAGTTTTCTTTCGCTTGAAGGTGCCACTGGCATCGAGGACTGTCTACAGCAGGGCGTTCCCGAAACAATCGCGTCTTTGCGAGAGGCCGGATTAAAGGTGTGGGTTCTCACTGGTGACAAGCAGGAAACTGCGATCAGTATCGCTTACGCTGCAAAACTAATCACTGAAGAACAGAGGGTTTTTACTTTGAATGCAGAGAGTGCGGTAAGCAAATTTAATTTTAACTGCCCGTGTGTTTTGATTCCTTACTTTTTATCTAAAACTATTTTTTAATGTCAAATGTGGTAACTTTGGGAATACTTAATTAGCAAGATCATCGTGTTTAGAATTTTGATCTAGTCATACTTATTGGAATGGGTCAAAGTAATTACGTACTTACCGGCTGCAGCGCCTGACTGGCCAAAATTATGTGAAATTGAACACTTATTTAGAGTAAGCATTCGATTCATTGACTCAAGAATGCCATCCCATCAATACCTCATATTCGGTGATACATTTATACAAATAATAGATTCTTACGTGCTAAATTTCCCTACACCGTTCAGATGCACGTCTGTACCACCTACGATCAAACATTTTGGTAACAGGTCATATCCCTGGCTAGTCTGGGGAGACTGTTATTTCGACGCAATTTTATTGCATCACCATGAACCATGTATTTTATGATTTCGTTTTTATCAAACTGGTCACATTTGTATACTTGGCTTGCGATCCTTTCCCAATGCTCGTCCTTAACTTCTAATCCCCAAAAAAATGTGGAAATTTCTACTTCCTGAAACATAAATACAATCGTTCTTTCTGTGGTCTGTCATCTCGCTATTCCGCACTTCCGATTTCATCCTTACTTAACAGCTTACACAGGGTAGGATTATTAAGACGGAGAAACCGTGGAACAGCAAGGTTCAAGAACTTGTGAATCGTGGTTATTCAACCCCCTAATCCGGTCGCTCCACCTCCTACACAGGGTTCCCCTTTCTCGCAGCACGGCGCCAGCCGCGCGACTCCTCAACCCCTCCTTCATTCACACGAATATTTATCTTGGATTAACCTCACACCTAGGTCTCGATGTGAGCGCAGTTATGACACACACCCGAGCTATAAATACACACGCACAAACCCCACATAGACACAGTTTCGTCAAGTTCTCGAATAAACGGTTGACTCTCTGTCCTTCCACCGACTTCAGCTTTGTTGGGTAGTTAGTGATATATGGCTTCTCAACAAACTTAATGCTTGGGTCCTTCTCGCCTACATATTGACGAAATATCAAAGCAATGCTTTAGCAGATTAAAATCACCCTAAAATCAGATTTTTTGTGACTGGTTAGGAGTGTCGGGATAAAGTTGGTTTGACGTATGTTTTCACTCCTGAGTGTATCACTGAAATAAATGACGTGGAGGCATGTGACTATTCGGCACCAAATCGGTTTCATACAACTTTCTTTTTCGCTTTCGTCAGTCGCATTTCTACAAAATGCAGTGTTGCGGTGTGCTTGACGTAACTTCTTTTAAGCTATTAATGGTTATTGGGATTCTTGAATTTCTGTTCTTATGAAGTCCCATTTAGACAACTTTATCTTTGTGCAAGTAAGTCCCACCCACGTCGCCTTAATTTGCGTCTAAGTGCCTCACACAAGCTCCGAGATGAGTGCCTTTCTATGTCACGTTTATTTAGAGTCATTTCATTGGTGCGTTTAAATTGGGCACCTTTCTCCTTCAGACTCTACTGAAATAGTGAACTCGAGTTAATAATTTTATCATAAGTAGATGTTGCTAGTCTTCTCTAGGTATTAAAAACATGAGGTGCGTTAATTTCTTGATAGAAAATCCATGCAAAATGACCGAATACGTTATTTTGTCTTCTTATATTTTACTTTTTTTTGTCTCACGGTTAATGAAACTTTGATTCGAGTTAGTGATATGTAATTGAATACGCGAATTCCATGTTGGCCTCAAATACAAGTCTACTTACAGGGAAGATGTCTTTTTAACCTTACTACTTGGACAACAAATTCGTGTTCCATTTCCCGTTTGGGTCTTCGGTATACTTCGTTGAACAGTTTTGAAAAAAAAGACAATCGTGTTTGTCAGAACAGGGCAGTAAGTGTAGTCCTTTACGAGAAAGCCATTGTACCTTACTAGAGTGTCTTGGCGAAAGGGGAACCAAGGCTTTGTCTTAGTATAGCTTCAGAACAGAGCTATTCACATCTAGGAGGAGACGAAACGCCAATTGGAGAACTTTCTCGTTGAGCTGTTGCCCGGTGCAAACTTCCCGGAATCCGTCTCCAGCTACTGCCCGTCGAATGTTCCACCCTCTTCTCCCTCAACTCCCCCCTCCTTGCGAATGGACTTTCACGGCGAAGCGGCAGAAGAGCCGGATCAAAAATTTCCGCAAGCAACCGCATCCTGTAACAGTCCCACCATATTACGTGTCGACTCCCACTTTTCGGCTGTTTCTGTGCTGAACAACGAGGTGCCCGTGGATATCCCGCAAGGTAGCGTGGCACTTGTGCTGGATTCAGCCTGCCTAGTCCATGTCCTCGATGATGGCGTGAAAGAGATCTTCATCAAACTGGCCCGCGTTTGTTCCAGTGTTATCTGCTGTCGAGTCACTCCTTCACAAAAGGTTAGTACTCGCCCTTGAGCGCTGTACATGATACTATCACTGCCCCACTCCCGTGACTGCGACTTTCGCGCGTGTTACCATAGCGTTTTATCCAAATTCGCAAGTGAATTAGGTTGCTACTAGTAACCACTGTTAATATGTTCTGGGCGGGACCGTCGAAGAGATTAGAAACTCTGAAAAAGGACATTGAAATCGCCTCTCTAGACACGGGGTTGTAGTGCCCTCTACCTAATGCATGAACCGTGAAACTTTCGCTCTAAGTATGTTAGGCGGTAGGTACCTCAAAATTTGCATTCTTTTAAAACATTCTGTCGCCTTCATCTAGCAACAAATCGTGTCTGACAGCACTGTGATCTGCTTTCGATCTCGCTTGAGTGTAAGTGTGGATTTCCTTTTTTGAACACCAAGTACACTTTGGAGAAATGTCCCTATACATTTGTCAGTTTAGGTAGCCCATAATGTTTTTGGTCAAACAAATGTCAACGACTGTAGTTCTCTAATGACTATGTGTCAAAGGCCCTCGGTCGTGTGTCATTTGGCCCTCCTAATAACTTGGTTAAAATAGGTAGAGCTCGTCAAAAGTCAACTGGAACATCATTAGAATACAGTCAATCAGTAACTCAGCTAATGCCTTTGTAGGCTTCGGTCGTGGAATTGGTGAAACACGAAATTGGAGCCCAAACTCTGGCTATCGGCGATGGAGCGAACGACGTTAACATGATTCAGTGCGCTGACGTAGGCGTAGGTATAAGTGGGCAGGAGGGAATGCAGGCTGTCATGGCTTCCGACTTTGCCATCACACGATTCGCTTTTCTGAAACGCCTTCTCCTCGTCCACGGCCACTGGTGCTACGAGAAGCTCGCCCGAATGGCACTTTACATGTTTTACAAGGACGCGGTAAGTGTCTTAGTGCATGCGTAAATGTGCCTGTTTCTGCAGTTCAGAATTATTGTGGTAGCCTATTAAATACGCAAATCAACTGCTGTCGACAGAGCCCCATTTCTCTTTGTGGTGTTTGCGACTTTGGCGGTAGCACAAAACTTTCTCACACTAGACACTAGTGACAAGTCCCGGAAGTAGAGTACATGTCACTGTGCTGGCGATATTTTTGCCCTCACGACTCATTTTTAGCTCTTTTAATTTGTTCCGCGTTGACTTTCGGCTATTATGTTGTTCAATCGGCGTAAAATATTGTTGTCGATTAGCTGTATCGGGATATGGTTGGCAAAGTTGCTTTGTTTGACCGTCAGGCGCACTTGTGTCATCTATGTTGGTTTTGTGATGTTTAAGGCAAATAAACATGTGTGGTCGATTCATTTTCTCTATTCGCTAGTCATGAATGTTAAAAAATGTAGGCTATTTAGCAAATTTTGTTAAAAGTTCACCCGAATAAACTAAGTGTTGATTTCTCTTTCCAAACCACAGTTTTTTTACTCACAAATATGTGATGCCTGAATTTTTCCTTCGCACTAAGACTTTAACTAATGTTTTTTTTCCGTTTTAGGTATACATATTCTCGCTTTTTTGGTTCCAATTCTTCAATGGTTTTTCCGGCAGTGCCCACATTAATCAACTGGCACAAATCCTCTTCAATGTTTCCATAACTAGCATTCCACCATTCGTGCTAGGTGTGCTGGACAAGCCACTTGATGACCAGACGCTCATGGCTAACCCTAAACTCTACCGCAATGGACGCGACTCTATGGTGAGTTCATACGCAACCTTTAGGATTTTCTTTCTGCACTGCCTCTTGTGATTTTTAGTTGTTTACGATAATGCATTTGCAAATAACTCATTACTTGCTCTTATTCTTCAAAGTACTTTAGTCAATTTAACTTATAGGAGCAGTGTACGGTAGTAATTATGAATGCTCGGAATCCTTACACAAACTTTGGATTGGTGATTTGACTGCCAAGTGTTTAACCAAGAGCAGTAAATTTTAGCACAAGTTGCCACATTAATCGTCAATGGGCCATCTGCTAATTGATTTCAAGTAAACAAAGGCTAATACGCAATCCATTCTGATTGTTAAACCGTGTGATGTAGTGTTGGCACCACTGTTTGCTGGAACTTACTGATCTAAGAGATTAAGTATCATTTCAGAATTTTTTTTCTTTAGACTTATCGATCGTGGCATTTTTGGGTAAACACATTGGACGCCATGTGGCAGTCCTTGGTCATTTTCTTCATTCCCTGCCTTGTATTTCACTACACAAATGCCAGCATGGATGAACTCGGCTCAACCTGTATGAACGCCCTCGTCTTCACATCTCTCGTTCACATTGCTTTGGAGACCAAATATTTCGTAGGTTTTGATATCTCTTACTTTGTATTTCATTGAGAATACTGACCCTCTTCATTTACACACAGACCATCATTCACTGGATCGCTTATGTCGGGAGCTATCTTGTTCTCTGGCTCTTCTTCACGATGGCGTATAATGCTCTTGGTGTTACTGAGATAGCTCCAGATCCGCCGTATTACGTTATCTTTGTACTGATGGGCGACCTGCGTTTTTGGCTCTGCATGGTTATTACAAGCACGACTGCTCTTCTCCCGAGGTCTGTGTCTTATAATACTTGTTCCAGAAGTACTAGCGTTGCTCGAACGTATATTATGACGTTTTTAGGCTATTGATGAACTCCCTGTCGAACACATTTGCTCCGAGTCTTGACACCCTGGCAGCCCGTCTACAGCGGAAATATGGTGTTGGCACCAGTCTACCGATCGGTCGGTACGTGGAGGAACATGATGCTTGTCAAGAAAAACGTAATTTGCGTGGTCGCGTACGAGTTGGTGAGGCCAACATAAGGTCCCGCATTGTCAGTTGGTTTACGTCTGCTGGTCGGCTTCTGCAGCGTATGCCTGCTCTACGAAGAAACATCGATGAACCTTCGGTGGTGCTGGTACGAAACGTCTCACTGGTGTGGACAAAACAGGATCCTGAGCTAATTGCTCACACGCTTCCTCGGTTCAGACCAGTTGCAGGAAATCCACAGCGGAATCTTCGCAGAGCCAATACATTCGGAGGAAATGGGGATTTCAACGGTCAAACCCAAACACATAGTAGGTGTCTTGTCAATTTTTCCGGTTTATGAGGCGTAACAAATTGGCTTCAGGTCATTTTAACCATTATTGGAAGTGAGTCTTCATTGGATAGGCCGTTTTCCGGTTCATATGTGAAGGGTCTCAAAATTTTCTTCTCCGAGTATTCACTTCCGAATTTTGTGGATCATCATTAGGACATTATAGGCAAACGCTCATGTTGTTCTCCTAAGTTTGGTTTTGCATCTTCACAATGCGTGCACGTGCAGTGTGCGCTATCTTGACGAAACTCAGTCCTGTTGATTGATCGCTTGTAACATGACTTTCCCCTTTTCAAAAATGCTTCGATTTGGGTGTAAGGTTTACTTACCTTTTTGGTTATTACTTTTTTAACCAGAATAGACGCACAGGAAGTAACTGCAGTTAGGTGTATCCAATGCTACTTAGACTGATTTACGTTAGAGTTATAGAAGTAAATATGTGCTCTGTGGAGTAAAATCACCCAATGAGACAGACCTAGCGAGGAGCTAAACTGTCAGCTGAGTGACGCAAATTCATGGTAAAAGTTCAAATCGACATCGTTGCACCAACTACTGGTTTTCCCTTTGGAATAGTAAATACTTTGACTGTCGATTACCAACGTCGTTCTCAAACAGAAACGACGATGATACCTACTACAAGTGAGTACCATGCAGAATGTGACACTGTTATTTGTGCATCAAGTAACATGGGAGCACTACCGTGTTAGGCGCGGCACCGTTGAGCTCCTATTGTTTTCCTTTTTTGTATTAGCATCCTTTTTTAAAGTCATAAATAAAGCGCATAATTTAATTAACCATCTTTGAAGCAGTTAATAGTATTTCTTTCGTTTGGGGCTAAATTTTTGATACCTTGTGTGCACTATTAAGCGATATCGGGACTTAGGCAATATTAGCCCTTTACAAACAGACTTATCAGAGAGTAGTAGTTAATCTTAAAATTGCTAGCGAGCTCCTGCCAAATAGGCGCACGCCTGCCCATACATGGTTTCCATACTTCTGAAAAAGTTGCAAAATCAGGTTTTGTATAAATTAGCTTTGGGTTTCAAATGTTGCAACCTACACCAATGTAGGCTTGATTTTTCTCAGTCAAAACTGATTTAGGAATAACTAAGTTTGTACCATAGTTTATGCCAAGAGCTTTAACCTTGGATTAACCACATGGACAACTGAATGAAGCACAAAGCAGGGTATAAACCACCATACAATGTCTAGGTCCTTTCTTCTACCTGTTGATAGACAATCGTCCGGATCGGAGCGGCCCCTACATGACGAACACCTCAGGCGACTCCTATCTCCATCGTCCTCAAAGTTCTCAGAGGCCACCCTAGGTCTGGCAGCTGCCGCTCCTCTGAGGTGACGGCTCGAAAAAGTCAGGATGGTCTCAGTCCCCCCCCCTTGTCTCCTCACATCCCCTTCTCACTAGGGGTGACCCCGAGAGCTGCGTGACCTGTCTTTCATGTACTGAAAGAACTTCTTGTGCCATTCCAGTTCAAAGTGTTGCCTGTTATTTCACCACGCCCATGCTCCTTCATGTTCACATGACCTGTAAATTCTTTATTGGGCGTTGGTTTATTTTCGTAATTTTTTACTCATATTTTAGGGTTAATTAATAACACTTCTCTGTGTTTCACCCCGATCTTTTCTGAATCGGTTCAAGGAGACATGGGCAGCTAATGATCGCCCCGTAAACCAAATTAGGCAGTGAGACTGTTGGTCGTGAAATCCGCAGTTAGCATTGCAAATTGGCAGATGTAAAAAGCGTGAGCAACTCAGATCAGGCGGTAAACTTAGTTTGATTTTATGAAGCCACAAACGTGTGCTAATGTTCCACGCTCCAAATCATGTTGATGTCCTGAAAAGACCTCAAAACTGAGAGGCGAGTTTTGCGCAATGCGATGTTATTAGTTGCCCCCGAAAAATCTCATCTGTCTGCGTGCCTAATTGACAATGGTTTCGTGGGTGGCTGTGGGAAGTTCTTAAGTAAGACATATGCGGTACCCAAACTAGTTTGACTTGAAAAAAAGCAGGCAATGTTGGGCGCTCGGGGATAGCGGAATCATTAACATGACAGCCACACCTGCGTTTTGGAGTCGTTGACCCTTAGCTCGACCCAGGATCATCACCGTGAAGTCACAAGTCCACTATCACATTTGTGTGCCACTGCAACTGTGTTTCAGAGGAAATAATCGGCCCTTCTATTTTCGAAATCCAGCATTTAATCTCATAATTACTGGTTACCCCTTGAGGTGCCGCGATACCTGTCTATCGTTCAATGATATCTTATTAGTTTTTGGCAATAAATGGACCGCTGATTTCCTCTCGATATAAACTAGACTCCTCGTGCTTCTCGACAGCGAGTCGACTTTTGCTTTGATTCAATGTTACATGTTCATCACGTTCAGAGTCATTATGATGTCTTTATTTTTCTTTAATTCCAAGACCCAACATCTCTCTCACCCCTCGACGAGTAATGAATTGGTGTCACTGTTCACCTTTAAGTTACTAAAGTCACCGGCAGTGCCTATCCTTGAGGCCCGCGGTTTTGCATTGCTGGTACCGATATTGGTTACATGGTTAGAATCTGAAATAGCGCCAGGTCCCGCGGTGCCAACATGCCGAAAGAGAAGAGCCCTTTAATTACCTTGGCTAATGTTACTAGGTGAGTGAGGGGGCCAAAGTTAAGCAGACCAGAGAGAGGATGTTGCAGACCCTTGAACCGCATCAACTTTGAAACCACAATGCCTAGCACTAGTGCGTGGGGCTCAGACACAGAACTGGAATTCAGTAGTATCCTCTAACAAACAATTCAACCATGACGTGATTATGACCACTTCCTACCCAAATATATGAAATTTGTTAAAAGAGCGATGTTTAGGGAAATCCGGTTATCCTTATTTTATTTAAATCGCTTCTGTCTGCACTGAAATAAATTCTTCACAACACAAATAATTTGGTACCCAAGACACCAATCGGGATACGGCATTTGCGAAGGCGGCTCAATGCAGCAAACATCTCGGAGACGGCTACACATTGAAGTAAACAAGGCCGTCTCGGAGTGACTTTCAAAGTAGAATATGGGATGTTCAAATTTTACAGATGGGCATTACAAACTGTCTTTACGTCAGAGATCTCAACCTGTAATGCCTGCGAAAAACATGTCATAGAATGGGTAGCGCTTCTAACTGTAGGATGAAATGCCGACTATATGATTAAGCAATATGACTGGTTTTTCTATTAAATAGAAGAAGTCTTAAGCGGAACCTCAAAAGCGGCTGGTCATTTCTCTTGCTGCCAATCTTTTACCTGGCCAAGCCAATTAATTTTTGCCGACCTGAGATTTAGATGGTTGATAACCAGCACGTGCAGATGTAAAAGGAAACACGGAAAGGAGATGATGATACTGTTGCTCTCTTCAAAGTTTCTCCTTCTTTCCTCCTTTGGTTGGGAAACCCGGGATGGAGAGAGGAGTACAACATTTATTAGAACGTCTTAAAAGGGTTCCAGTTTTTCTCCGTTCGTAATCTCTCACTGGGTCCCTTTTTGAATTTATACACCCAGTGGACGGTAAACCACTTTAGCATGCTCCGCATTTCAACTTATATATTGGCTATATGCATTACTAATGCATATCATTTTCTGGGATAACACATGGCTTTTAACGCTCCGAGCCGCATTGTTCTCTTCGGGCCTGCGGGTGTCAACGGTTTGCAAATAAGTTTTTGTCTTCAGTAATGACACTGATTTTTCTAGAATGGAAGCAGAACACCTTGGTGCATTTGTCTCTGAGTAAGTGCTGCTCTATTTTTGAGCGGCAGTCAATTAAGAACGAACAGTGAATGACATTGATGTTCGTCATTGGAATTCCGTCGTAGGATCTTATGCGTTGACAAATGTGTCCTAAGTTTTTTCTCATTAGTAATAACAGTCGATTTGCCTTTTATGAATACCTTACTCAAGCCAAAGAGACGTGGGTCTGTCTCCAAGTGAAATGAGTCGTCGTATAATTAAAATTTCTAGCTTACTGACTAATGTGTTCTATGGACATTCATATTGGATTTGAATGGATACGCTTACCTAGAATCCACAACAACTCAAACAATTATCCTGGTACGTTTGACCTTTCCATGTCTAAGCAACTGCCCTATACTTGTGTAAATGAATGACGAGCTTATATTAAACAGATATATAGATAGACAACCACAGACTTCATTGATGCAACAAAGTACAGCTAAGCACAATATAAAGCCTTTCTGGTATTGCTTGGTCACAAGTGGCAATATTGTGCCAAACGTATGAAATTCATATGAAGCATGCAGTACTAGATATTGGTAGATTCGATCAGAAGCGAGATGACACCAGGTATGGTCAAGTATTAAATTTCTAGGTTATAATTTTAATATAATACCGAAATTTTCCCATTTTTACTTGGCGATTATGGAAATGAATGAAGACGCAACTAAATATAAGCATTCCTTCGAATCACTGAAAGCTGGATCTCAATTAGCCTACCATTGATAGGCTCCTTATTTTGCAGGAGCTAAGCCACTAATTACGTAAACTACTGTCAATTAGATTAACTTCGTAAACCTGAGTGTGCATGAACATCTAACACCGCATTAATTAGAATAAGCCGATTAAGCATCTTAAGGCTTATTTTACCTACTTGTTTATTAATTTGAACTTAACTTTATATTTGGTAATAGTAATTCTCAAAAATCTTACATCCAAGGTGCTAGAAATATTCCAACGTAACTCATAAGCATTGGTTTTTTAATCAACAAATGATCACCGCCTTTAACCTGTGACAGAGAATGAAGCACTCGTTTTTGCAAAAAACTATGCAAGTTATTTAGAGATGGGTAAGAATGCCAGGATTATTCAGAACTCCTCTGTCTACAACCTACAGAATCAAACTGCGTCGTTTTGGGCTGCTGATTAGATACAAAGATATGCGGTCAACGAGTGTAAATAATATGCATGTCAAATGAGATGTTTTGCGATGTGAAGGTAAT